ATTTTAAATGAGGTAACGGTTGGTTCTGAAATATATAAGTAAAAGTTAAGTTGCTTTCGGAGCATCTTTTGTTTGTTTTGTTTGCAAGATTTGAAAGGCGCTTTTTTTTTTTTGTTCTGGAATTTACCTTTTTTGTGTGTCGAAAATTAAAGGTTAATTGGTGTTTATTTGTATCATACTCTACAGTTTCAAATATTCGGAGTTGAATTATCTAGTTTGTCAAACTTTTAAAATTTTAAAGTAAAAACAAATATTATGCGGTCACAAACGCACGCGAAATTCCCAAAAAACTCACCTCTGTCAAATGATATTTCTTCAGCTCGATTTGGTTTTCGCGTCCTTCTCACTGACAATAATAACTGTCCCACGACAGAGCTTCCAAATAAGCGTTGCTTAAATGAACGCCGATAATTTTAAATCACCAAAATCTTGGGCGAATTCGTTAAAACGCTTGTTTTCCTCCCATGTCATACTACCGTTCCACCCCGCGGCTGCGCGAGGTAGGATGGTGAAGGGAGTAATATGTAATATAGAAGGTTCATCTGTCTTTCCCTTAAGAAATACGGGTTCATAGCTTCCACTGATATCGAAACACAACCCCTTCTACCTTCGGGAAGTACGCACAGTATGCTTCAATCTGAAGAGCCGAATAGGGGCTTTTGTTGTGAGCCAGAAGTACAGGGACCCGTTGTCCTGACTCTGGAACAAATCTTGACTAGAGAAACAGTAAATCCCCTTTTGTCTAGAGTTCTAGATTTGAAAGGAAACTAGAATGGACTGCCATTAGGACTGCTAAACCTGTGCTGTAATATACCGTTTTCTTTTCCTTGTTATCCTGATTTCGCAGTTCGGGGGTTTTTGAGATAAAATCAAATTGAGGAAATTTTATCCGCGGATGTTCTTCATATTTATCAGAAAACGCGTGACCATAGTTTAAGCGATTTTTGTAAATTGTTTCTGAGAAAATGGCGACCAACGAAGACCATGATTGCATGAAGATGAATTGCGTCGACTACTAAAAAGGGGCATTATTTTCTCATTATATATATATCGATGTATATATACATTGTGTAGGGATTGAGCGTCCTTTTTATTATGTTGACTCGTGATGTACAGAAAATAAGAGCACGACGCTGCAAACGTCGACGTAGTTGTATAGTTATCAAGTGACATCCTTCCAACGGCACATGCTAACCATGCAACAAAAAGGCGAGTAGGTTGGATTCAGTGCCTTTAAACCTCAGTGTTTTTCATGATGACTCCCCAGGTGCACTGGAGGCCACACACACACACACACACACACACACACACACACACACACACACACACACACACACACACACACACACACACACACACACACGCACACACACGCACACACACGCGCACACGCGCACGCACACACGCGCACGCACACACGCGCACGCACACACACGCACACACGCGCACACGCGCACACACACACACACACACACGCACACAAACACAAACACACACACACAAACACAAACACACACACACACACGCGCACACGCGCACGCACACACACACACACACACAAACACAAACACACACACACACGCACACACACACACACACACAATGTAAACCTGGTTTTTACGCCTAGGTGAAGAGGTGTACCGTTCGGCAATTCTTCTCTCATAAATAGTGTTTGATCAATGATTCGTGATAAGTCTCAGTATGGTGCATGGAAAGCATTTTGAACTTATGTATTTAGCGTCACATATCCCGCCCTTGTATCGAAAACAGGTCCTGAAGTGGCAACAAATTGCGTCACAGGAGCCGGTGTGTCACGCTGTCGGATGTCACTACTCGAAAAAGGCGAGCGGCCGCAAGGGTCGCTGTCGTCGCGGCGTCCAAAAAGAAAGCCTAGATTTGAGAGTGTTACCAACTGCTAGGTCGAGGTCACGTGGTTTATGGGCCGCGTTTGCAATACGAGTTGCGAGGAGGTCAACGTTACTAGATTAGCTATGTTGTGGAACTCCCGCGAAGGGGAGCACCCATCCTCGATCCCTCCAGTACCCCTCCCGTCGTCTAAAGCGCCACCTAGAGCTTCGTTTGAAAACTGTGTATTCCATAGAGCACGACGAAGCGCCATCTAGATGCTGTGCTTCAATCATATGCATTCCACAGAATACGCTGCAGTTACCAAAGCAGCCCTCGTCGAAACGGTCCCGCGTCGAACGACGAAAGGCAGGCCGTGGGGTGAGACAGAGGGGGGGGGGGGGGGGGGGGGGGGCGCTCGTGGAAGAATTAAGCGTCTATGGGCCGTTCCGTAAATGAGTTAAGAATGTTGAAGGATGTTACGAAAACGTTGATCGTCTGCAAGCGTGTCCGCCTTTTCGCTCACCGCCCTTCTCGCTAGGCGACAACGCAGCGCATGCGCACTTGCAACCAACCCTCGCAGAAAGTGTTCACAAAGAAATTTCAAACGCTCCCCACGGTTCGAGTTCATTCCTCTCGTAAATCTAGGCTCTCTAGTCCCGAGTCGTGTCTGCCTTATTTTCCTCGACTGTTTTGGCTGGAGAGCGTCGTGCGGCGGAACCAGCGTCTCGCGCATGCGCCTCTGCTGTTGTTCCACCGCCAGGATCGTGGCTGGCAACAAGATGACAACGAGAATCTAAATTTAAAAGAGGGAACAACTTAAACATTGGAGAGCGTTTGGAATTTAATGGCGGACGCCTCGTGCGCCGGTTGATTGCAGGCGAGTACGTGCTGCGATGTCGGCTGGCCAGGAGAAAAGCGGAAGGAAAGGGAAGGAAGGAAGGAAGCGTTGGCAGACAATAAACGCTTTCGTCACCTCCCCGCAACTCGTATTGCAAACGTCGCTCATAAGCCAGGAGACTCCGATCAAACAGTTGGAAACTCTCTGAAATATAGACTCTCTGGCATGACACTTTTGTGACGTAATCAGGCGGAAATAGAGAGACCAATTCTGAGGACACGTTATACACACCGGTCGTAGACGTGCTCCAGGCACCCTATGTCTTCCGTTTGCTTACTGCGTCTATCTGGAGATGGTGCCACAAGTTACATTAATTGCTGACTCGGCCGTCTGCGAACACGTACGTCCACGTTAACTTCGGAAAGTTTCTTGGCCTTTATGTTTACAGGTAAAACTGCGCTTCGAAATTTCACGAGGTAAACTCTACCGCTCAATGCACATGCGTTGAAAGTTCTAGCTTTCTTTTGTGCTGGCGCTGACTTTTCTGATTCGTTTTCCAGCGTAGGAAACACTGTGGCCACCCTGTATACTCGCGTCTCTTTCCTCCCTAGTCTATCTGGTCCTGTGTTTTCAGTGAGTGTTTGGCACCCGTTCGTCCTTTTTCCATGTGCCCTAGCCTGTTCCCGGAACCATGCCACTATTTCGATATTTCTGATTAATCTTCATCATTGGCTGCACTGCTGCTCTCCCGACAATTGGTCTGGTTTAACACAAATGCCTCTTTTTTCATCTTCTGAAAATTCCATAATTTTAATGCCACAACGCTGGCGTGGCCCCGACTCCCTTCGTTTGCTAATTTTAATTTCATAGATGACTTTTAGCCGATCGCTATGTCTACCATGGCTTTCTGAATTATGTGACCAGCTGTTTGTTTTGTGTTTCCTATTCCAAGCTCGATTCGGAATCTTTGCGACTCCCCCGTGTGAAACGCAGGGTGAACAACAGCTTTCATATCTTCAAGGAACCTTGTCTTGGCTGTACGCACCTCGCCCGGCTGCTGGGTACTATTCGGAACGTTCGTGTGCAAACTGTCCGCGCCGCAAACGAAGCCTGACGGATCAAAAACATGGGTACGTAGACAACATGGTCACACTCTTATATGCAATAGTAATAATAATAGTAATAAGCTTTATTACCATTCGTTACGATGGGGCGTCTGAGAAAAGAAGGCTGCAGTGTGCGGCTCGCCTGGTCCTCGAATTCCTACAATGGTAAGCTGGAAGAGTGCAGGAAATGCAGAAAACACATTCATATAGATAGAAAACGATCGAGAGGAGTCTCTTGTTTCGATCGCTCTTCAGTTCACTCCTCTACGCCATGTGAAACAAAATAAAAATGCTCAAAATCACTAAATCACTGGCCATTTTTGGTACAAAAAAGAGAAGCAACAATAGATAAATTAAGCACAATATTGTAATCGCAAATCTGCAGACGGTAGACTGTAAAATTTACCGTCATTAAGGAAAATGTGATTTAACAAACGTGAGGGAGCGCCATTGCACCTCCACCGTCCCCAGCCGCCGATATATCGAGAGATCGTTCGACTCAATTTTGAAATATTTTCTGGAGAGTTTGCCAGAAACGCCATTGCAGTAATAGGGCAGTAGCAACACCTTTTTATTGAATAGAAGAAAATAAATCACATAGCCGTTGAAGATGTCTTGAGTTCCGCAATAAAATCCTTTTTGGATCATGGAAGCGATAATTTGGTCACTGAGTGAGCATCTTTCACGTCTAGATGCGCGACTGACGCGTGCAGTCCGGTAAATGTCTCTTCAGCAACGCTACGTTTTCCAGAAAGCATTATTTCTTATTTCTTCCCCCTTAAAACCAGTGCTCAGTCGACATCAGTATAATCGTTATTCATTACCTACCTGCAATTTTTTTTGTTTTATTTTATGAACAACTTTGTGTTTTGCTTATTTCGTGTACACAACATGCGTTTTCTTTGGAACGCTTCTTGTACTTGCACTACTTATTTTTGTCTGGTTTTTGTGACGAGGGTGCTACTCAGTGAAGTGTGCACGAGCACACTGTTTACCAGGAAGCGGCGCCACTGTGGGGTCTGAGTATACGCGGTAGCATCGCCGGTTCAGATATCAATCACTGCGCGCGCACATACGCGACATTACGTGGTCTGCAAATGTTGTTTGTCTACCTGCACGGATTTAGGTCTAGTAATTTTACAAGCATTAACTGTTAATGTAAAGAAAGCAACGGGTTTGTAATAGCAATATAAAAAGACCTACGGCACATGCAGGCCACGTATTACTTGGGGTTCGATTCAGCCCTGAATTTGTTTGGGCCTTTTACGAGCATCGAAAATGTTTTAAATGCAGACTCGCCGATGAAAGAACAAACGAAGGACGCCCTTGTACATTCACCCTACCCAGTCGGCGATATATCGAAGAGATCGTTCGACTCAATATCGAAAGATTTTCTGGAGAATTTGCCAGAAACGTCATTGCAGGTAAGTAATAGTGCAGTAGCAACACCTTTTTTTAATAGAAGGATATAAAATACATGGTCGTTTAAGATGTCTTCAATGCCGCAATAAAATGCCCTGTCTGAATCAAAGGGTGACCGAATTGGGAAATAGAACATCCCTGTGATAACATTTACGTACGTTTTATACCGACCCCATCGACTGAATAAAGTGGGAACCGGTTCAAAGTGTTACATGGGCCGGAGGGCCACTTTTAAGATATCTTTTTTTAAATTTATTCATGACTGCGGTGCGGTAGCGCATGGAAGGGCTAAGTCAAAAGACGTAGGTGCCTGACGAGACCTTAGCTTCCTATTGGCTTAATACTGCCAACAAGCAGGCGAACATTAAAAAAATATAAAAACATTCTTATTATCTAATAATATTGAATTGAATTGAGGAACGATACGTTTATACACTTGGACTCCATATTTTCTAGTACCATAGACTTCAAGAGTCAACCTATCCATCACTCTGCACTAGACCCGGCCACCATTATAATACTCGTACTAAAAAAAGTATGCACTTCCAAAAATTAGGACTAACATGGGCTCACAAACGCCTGCATATCAAGTTCCAAACTTTCTTAACACATAAAGTCATCTACCTACACTCATTGTATCTCGTATCTCGCCGATGGCGAATCCAATTTGACGTGGGTTGATCGTTTTGTTTAGACACCCGGCACTGTTTCGGTTGAGAGGTTGTCTTCTGTAGTTCTTGTCCCGGTTATTCCAATTTTTAGTTGCTTCAGGTACCTTCACCCAGGCTCGGCTGTTTTGACGAAATAACAATTAATATAGAACGTTCTACAACAAATTACAAGTCACGGCATAGTTTAGTACATGCATGAATTGTTAATAAAGCGATGTATGCCGTCGTAAGATAGCCTTTCTGCCTACCAAGCTCGGTGGAACAAATATAAAACTTTGTGCTTGAACAAAGAGCTACCTTTAAATTAATATTATTGGACAATGAAAGATGAAAAGAAGTGTTCAGTCTACGACTGGCTTGTTTAGTTAGTTTGTAGGTAAAAGAGGGGGGGGCAGAGTTATTGTCATTATTGAATAAATCGAAGTGCGTGTAATTTAAGCGGTGCTTCACGGTAACAAAAATTTTTCCGCAAGGAAATGGAGATCGCATATCCACCTGCTGCATCTTTATTACAGTCGCTGAGAACTTGATAAACGCAGGGCATGACTTCCCAAGCTTCCTGCGTCGTGATTTGTTCTTGGGTGTTTTTTTTCCGCCAATCCCACAATCACATACGCGTGGAGCGATGAGAAGATGTTCGTCGGGTCTCGCCCCGCCCTGCACCTTCTCAAGCTATCAGTGACTCTATGGTGACGACGTGTACACTTTTGTCTTGTTCCCGTGCAGTATCTCACCGGATTCGGGAATGAGTTTGCCTCCGAAGATCCGCGCTGCCCAGGATCTCTTCCCGAAGGACAGGTACGCTCTTTCTTCTTCAGCGCGGAAAAATGAAAGCAACCGAGAAGATCTGCTCGTGTTTCGAGCGACTTCCTCTCTTAACTGCACTTGGAACCACTAAATCGGCTGCGCTTAGAGTATCGACACTGCATCCTCCGATTTTCATAAGGGCAGCGCCATTTTGGTCATTAGTGTAGTGCGGGCGCTCAATCATTGGTGATCCTTGCAATTCGAAAGTGCGACTTCCTCAGCTTTAGATATGGCGTCACGATCGCTCAGGCGATATCGTTGTGCTCTCTCCCGAACTGTTTGAAATTTTCTGGAAGACGGGAAAAGCATTTCCTGCGATTTCTGATAAAGGTTCGGGTAACTGACAAGCACGATTGCCGGCACCTAGATGGCTGGAGGGTCATAACTTTCTGGAGCTTGGCTTCTTTAGTGGCTCTATAGTTACACTATACTTCCCAATATGCGTCACTGGGACCAGCCGTTGGCCCGCACTATGATCTCGTGTTTGTGCGCGCTCGAGAAAGGAAGGAAAGAAGAAAACTTTGTTTTTAGTCCAACGGCAACCGTAGTGCAGGTTGCTTGAAAAGGCTGCTAGGGCAGCCTCTGCGTGGTCGGCTAGGTTGAGTTGGTCTTCGGCTTTGGGGCTAGACAGGCAGTTGCTTCATGATATGGGAGGAGGTGTGGGGAAGGTGGGGAGTGCGGGCAGGGCCAGACTATGCGCTGTATGTTGGGATAATCTCTGCAGTGTGTGCATCGGGTTGAGCCTGGTGCATTGCGAAATTTGTGTGTGAGGTATGGGTTTGGAAGTGGTTTTGTTTGGATTTCTATTATGATTGAGCTCTGGTGTCCGTTGAGGTTGTTATGGGGTTTACGGTGCGTGTACCTACCCTCTTACTAGCTCGTGCAAGGAGTGTTTCCGGTAGTGGAGGGTGTGTGTGTTTCGGTGTCGTTTCCAGGGTTGCGCACGGGTTGCTAGGTGCTCGAAAGTTGTTAGCTCGGGCGAGCGGATTTGCGAACTTATTGCCTGACAGACCCTCGTGTTCAGGGGCGTAAATTATATAAAATATTAGTGTGTGTGTTGTTGTTAAGAGATTCGGTTATGCTATGGACTGCTATATCAGGTAGCCTGTTAAGACGGAGTGCTCTGCAGGCTGCTCGCTAGTCCGTTAGGATGATAGTTGATTGTATTGAATTATCTGGAATTGGGGCATTTGTTGAAATAGCCCGAGCGATTCCAGTTATTTGTGTCTGTGTCGGGATGTGTGAGTCAGGTATTGGGGTGTATAGCTCTTTGTCTACAACTGCCAGTTGCGCTGAAAGGGAATCTGGAGTGAGACTGGCGTCGGCGAAAAGTACCCGTTGGTCCTCGGCTGTCTTATCGATGATCTTATGAATCACTTTGACATGTATCTGGCTTTTTTTGCGGTGCCTGTCAGGGTCCATACTAATTAGTACTAGTAATACATTGATTCTTTCCCTCTGTTGGGGGCTGAGAGTGGCCTTGTAGGTTTATTGAGTTTCGTCATCCTCTCGAAAGCCCAGAGTGCGCAAGATGGTGCGTCCCTGGATTTCGTAGGCGTCTTAGTTGTCCAATCCTGTGGGCCACCAAACGTGTTTCTTCTGTATTTGTTGTGCCCGTGTTTTTTGGAGCTTGTCGTTTGGCGTAGGGACGCCCAACGCAAATAGGCGGACTTTCCTTGAGCTGCGCTTTTACTTTGTTCAATTCTGTTTTTGTAAGGTTTAAGTATGTAATACGATACATTAAGCGGGAGATGACAAGGGCCTCATTCAACATTTTAGTAAAAAACCCGAGACTGATGTATTGACAAACGACGACAAGGAAGAGAATGTCTGCTTCTCCTTTTTCTTTGGGCCTATCAGAGAAGCGTTTGACTATCTGGATTGTTTGGTTGCTCTGAGCTCGAGAACGTCACTCGATGAGAGTCAGTTTGCGCTTCGGGCAGGCGTCTTCCAACCCCAGCAGTGGAAGTAGGTGCAAGCGTCATAAAAAATAACTTTCAAATTGATCGGTCTTAGATGGTCAAACAAATTAAGTAGGAGTGCAATAATCACATTTTTCGCTTTAAAGGAAAGCTGCAATATAAAACAACGCAACGTTAATGTCGGGTTCAACGAAACGTTACGTTCCTTTTAATGCTATGAGGATAAAAAAAAAAACTACAAAAGCGGCATGCCTTTTAGTAACCTTTTGTTTCGACTTCTATTAACAGTCCTAATGTGGAGTCCGCATCAGTTAAAGTATTCAAACTTATTTTGGGTTATTCTGCACGATTCACGTATGTATCGAGGCCAAATTTATGAGTGGTCATTGACTACATCGGACAAGGAAAGAATGGTATTTTATTGACACATGCGTTCGTGAAATTGTATGTTCAAGAATATGTCGAATGTTTTCACAAAAAGCGTTTGATCCTTAAGTTTTTTTTATCTATCTGCATATGATTCATATCACGTTTCTTTTCCCTGAAGCTATTCCATTAAATGCTGCCACCATGAAAATTCATCGTTGCCAAATTATTAGCGCTATAAAAAAATCTTATCACGTTCATTATTTTGCTTACTTTAGATTTCATTGTTCAAATAAATTGGTGCAATGGGGTGCATTTCCTACAAATATTTTAGCCAGAATGAAGAGAAAAATGGACATGCTTTAAATATGTTAAATTGTAAAATAATAAACAAATTAGTTATTAAAATGTGTGTGCAACGGGTGTATATAAGCAACGATAACTGTGTTATTCTAACCGCAATGTAAACCAACACACACACACACACAAACACAAAAAAACACCTGTACATTGCCGAATGGTTAGTTTTAGTTCAAACGTAGCGTTAGCGATCGGCACCAGATGCCAATGTTTCAGAACAAATCATTATAAAATTTAAATGTTGCAAACAAATTTCCAAAATATTAATTAAGCTTAAGTTATGGTACGGTGTTCCCGGTAGCAGGCGCCGTTTAGCTCCAGGTATTCGGGGCTTCCTGAATCAATTTTGTTCTATTAAACAATTGTTTTTAACGTTTCGAACAAATAACGGTTAGTTTTGAATCTTTGGCATCTAGACCCGGTTGCCAGCGCTACATTTGAACGAAGACTGAGTATTCAGCAAGACGTAGTTTGTGTTTACGGTAAAAAGAAAAGAGGGCTCGCTTTTCTTCCCTACGCGCGAAATCTATAAACTAGCAAGCATTCATGCACACGCGGGTGACTACTGAACCATGTGACTATGTGACAACTTTCTAATTTCAATCACTAATTTACTGCCCGGGTCTTTGAATACTTGGACAGCGAAATGTTCGTGTTTGCGACAAGTATTAAAAATTCGCTTCCTCTGAGCCCCTAAAACATTGAAAAGTATACACTGATAACGGTAAAACTGTTGTATTTACGCCGATGAAGTATATTTCACAACATTTTACTTGAAAGCCAGCCTAGAATACATTTAGAGGCTTCCAAGTATCACGTGAAAAATTTCTCCGCTAAATGTAGCGGAAAAATAATGCACGGTGCGTCCTTGACGTTTCATTCACCATTATCGTGAAATCTACCAGTGTAGTTACATCTTATTCGTAACGTTACATCTCTCAATATCAACATAAAAAATCAGTCTAAGAATTTCTTTAATGAGCGAGACAAACATTCATGCCATTATCGGGAAGTGTCTGAGGCAATAACTCACGATCTCGAACACGGGTCTTACTATACGCCGGACATTCTGGCAGGAGAAAGCAGTTAATATGAATACTCGATTTAACCTAAACGTACTCGGTAGTTGTTAAATACAAGGTGTGAGTCGTCATCCGTGCCCCATTAGCTAGATACAAAGTGCTTGATCTTGAACTCTACTAGAGAGGCAGTGTCCGTATTTATCTTGCAGAATAACCCCCAAGACTGCCCCTACGGTCTGTACGCCGAGCAACTCTCGGGGACTGCGTTCATGACGCCAAGACAAACAAACAGGAGGAGGTACGTGATGCTTCGCTTAACACCATGACAGTTTCTAGCTGTTACTGAAACAACGGTGGTAAATCTAGAGTGAGTTTTGTTCTCCCCTGACGTTCCTGGAGGTTACAGCGATCGATCGTACCGTTCATGGTGATTTTAATAGCGTCACACTGAGTAATAATATGGTTTAATACGAAGCACACATGAAAAAGAAAGCCAAGCGCAAGCCTCGAATAATAAGCATACACTTTCGTGTGGACGACCTTCGAGTCCGCCATCACGCGAGGGTGCGGATAATATAGCGAATATGAGCAAACAGAAGCACCGTGCACTTCGGGTAGCGTTGCGTGTTACATGCTGCGCAAGTGGGTCGTTGACAAGCGCCAATCCAAGAGGCAGTTTGGTTTCCCGAGAGCACGCTGTGCGGAACACGCAACGCTAACGCAAACGCAGTTGTTTGCGTTGGCTCGTTTACAGAAGACAAAAGGTCACTGGTAAGAGAGCAGAAAATTTAAGACCGAGAGCGTAATAACAACTAAATACTGATATAAGCGTTTTGATAGAACACGAACGTGACGAATTGGAATCTAAGCGTTTTATGAAGGCGCTTTATTTCTTGATCTATTTTGCTTTCTTGTTTCTTGGTTGACCAGTTCCTCTCCCTAGAATTTTGCAACGTGCTCGAAACAAAAATTAAACTCCCGCCGACTGAAAAAGGGCTGGCCGACAGGAGCAGCCCCTTCGGTTGTGGCAGTACGGCAGAGAAGATTTTTAAATAAATTATTTTAAGGAGTATTCAACAATTAACCACGGTATGCTTTATTTATAACAAAATCATTATGCAGTTCACAACATATAAAAAGTACAGCAAACAAACGGATTTCTTAAAACGACAATATCTTTAGTCATTTCCTGCGTATATCACAATGTTATCTCCTGGCCTACCCGCCAACGTTCTTGAAACACCAATGTAATAAAGTGCTAGTGTCTTTTGTTTACGTTTTATTTTTTTATTTTTTTCCTACGTGAGTGAACCTCGACCATTTCAAAGAGCCCACTGAGGGCCCCCTTCTCGGATCGACTTCCTGTGTTATTAAGTAGTTTTTAGTATATCGTGTTTACAATACAGACAACAATACTCGATAATTTTTCGCCGGATTTGCGTGTTTACATCGCATATAGTTACCGGGTAGTCTTATCAGAGCCTAAAAATGATCCACGACATTTTTGGGTATTGTCCCGTGCTTTCCGTACTTGATCTAATCGGAGAAAAGTGTCAAAGAAGTTTATGCAACCTTCGCACATTCTAAAAACTTCATCGCTTTGCCCACTCCAAGAAATAAAATACACAACTAATTCACAAATATATTTTGCTATACTACGATTCACCTTAATTCGGAGTGCAGCCAACGCAACGAGCTGATGGAAGAAACCAGACAGCGTCATAAGCGCCCCATCCTGGCGTTCGTTATCCTTCTCTGGATTTTCAATCATGTTCTAACAAAATCGAGCGCAGTGAATGCCCGCTGACTTGCGATGCTCTAGTATGTTTGTCGGTGTTCGCGTGTGTACACATGCGAACACCGACAAACATACTAGAATATCGCAACAGCGAGCCTTCGACCACGCTCAGACTTGTAATGAAACATAACATTTGTGATTTTCATCGCGTGTTTTCGAAGCCACTTTCAAGGTCTCGCCTTTTGACTGCCAGGCTCTGTCAACTTCTAATTCGCTCGAGGAGGCCGGTGATCGAACCTGCCTGCGCAACTTTTTGCTCTAGCCGCAAGGTGCCGTCGATATCGCTAGAGTCACCGATAGTGACTGCCGGCGATTCACGTAGATGTGTGCCTTTCTTTTGCAGCTGGCTTTACAGAATTTGCCCGTCCGTGCAGCATCCTCCGTATTCGCAGTACCCGACTAAAACCACCATTGACTGGAGCGCCAATAAGCCGAATCCCAGCCAGGTATGTTGGCCACAGCCCGATAGTCGATGCCATTGCTTCCGCTGGACCGCCTGCTAAATGCCGATGTTGAAAAGCAAATTCCCGTCCCAAAGTGGAACTACATCTGGACCTTTATCGTGGAAGACGGAAAGGAATTCGTTCTTAGGCACTGTAAGCTACTCGATATAACAAGTGTACATTGCCGCTTTTTGCTAAGATATGCTGGAGGGATTATATCTGCAGATGTCACAGCATGTTTTACGCCTTTTTATTTCTAAATTAAGAACAGTACATTAAAGATACGGTAATCACACCTCCAATATGTCACGGATGCATCTCCTCGCGCTTATGCCATTATTGGGTATTAAGTTTTGTTTATTATAATACGAGTAACTCTACGCATGCATTTTTTTTATATAAGATGGATCTAATAAACTAGTGAAAGTTACACATACTGTTACGCATTCAAATATTGAGGAGCGTAGTATTACAAAGAAAAACAATTGATAATAATGATACCGATTTATTCTATCGCAGATGCTGTTTAAGCCTTTCGACATTCCGGATCCAACGAAGAGTGCCGTCGACTTCGTGGACGTGAGTATTTCAGACGCTCTTAATCACGTTTTACATAAATTTATGGCAATAAAAACACAAATATGATAATACTTTTATACAACACTTAGTACGAATATCGATGCTTGCAATGTGAACCCTATATTTCAAGAAGGTATTGGCGTTTTAGAGCGAAGCAATAATCAGAAAAAAACAACAACAACACACAAATGATTGTTCTCAATAATATGTTTATTTGCCCCCAGGGATTGAACACATTCTCCGGCGCCGGAGACCCCAAAACGCGCCACGGAATGGCCATTCACATCTACTGCTGCAACACGTCCATGAAAGACAAGTGGGTTCTTCCACCGCAGCCTTGCACATCTCATATTTCGTGCCTCGCAAATACTAAAAGTATAATTATACATATGTTCTTTCTTATTACAGGGCAATGTCTAATGCGGACGGAGATTTTATGATCAGTAAGTTGAAAATATTCCGTAGACCATTCCCATATTCGTCTTCTGCGCGCTGCCATTTTTGTTTTCTACTGGGCTCTGGAACGCGTTCTGAACATGCGCAGTAGCTCTTTTTGATGTAAAAGAACGTCTTTCTCCGTGTTTGAAAGGAAGGTGCGAAGTTCGGAGATCGATGCCACAAAAACTTGGTCACGGAACTGACGTCACACAGATAACACCGGAGTGCCGACCGATTTGCATCGCCGCGCTCAGACGGCGCGCAGTGTATGCTATCGAGAACCGTGCAGTGCGCACGCGCGTCCTTTTATTACGATAGCATTTTATGCGGGGAGCAACTCGTCTGGTTCTTGCGCAGGAGTTGCGGTGACGTCAGAAAGACGCGGAGCTCTGATTGGCACCGATGGAAGGATAGAGGGTAGACCTCCAAACGTCTACCTCCTATTTTTCATTCAGTCAGGGCTCGGCGTCTTTCTGACATCACCGTAACTCCTCCGCAAGAACCAGACGAATTTGCACTCCGCATAGCAATCTCGTTAGTTGCGGAGTAATCAGTAGATGCTATAGACTGAGAACGCCCAGCGTTTCTGTCACTGACTAGAGCTGACCAAATTATACATCTTGCGGGATAGGCAGTACTGAATATGATTATCGTTTTTCCAGTGCCACAGCAAGGCGCTTTGTTCATCTTGACTGAATTTGGGAAGCTCCGCGTGGAGCCTAACGAGATCTGCGTCATTCAGGTAGGTCGTAAAGGGAGTCACGAATGAACGCTGCTCGCTTCTGCAACTGGAGTCACCGCACTCCCAATGGCTGGTGTAAGCGATCATGTGACCCTCGAAGCAACCGAATGGCCTTCTCGTTTTCGGTTACGGTATAAGTCTGAGTATATAAAGTAGTAAACCGAGATTTGCCGAAAACGTGTTCTACGCATGAGAAGTCTATCAGTGGTAATCCAAGTGAATTAAAATTAACTGTTGGGCTAGTTGGTTAAACATCTTAATTACAAAAGCGCAAAGGACAAGGACAGGACTAAGAATGAACAGGACAAGCGCTTACTAACAACTGATTGTTTAATGCATAATAAGAGAAAGACGAAAATGAGAGGAGATTTGATAAATTAAGACTCCAATTGTTTTCCAACTTAAAATGATTAAAAATTATTTGAGAAAAACTAGAACTGATAGAAAAATAAATATAAAGAAAAGCATCCAGATTAAGAAAAAAGGTTGAGGTACCCTATCTCTTTCTCAGACAGTGAAATTGATGGTGTGCTAATGCACGTGTCTCCTTTTTCAATTATAGTTTTTGCCTCGAAAATCTCTCTGGCTCTCTTGCTCCGAAAGCGTTTGAGTATTTGCGTTTGATTGAAAAGGGGAGTGCACTTATGGTCTCTGGCATGTATGGCCAAGTGTCCAGACGGTGACGCATGCAGGGAAAGCTCATGCTCTCGTAGTCGCACATTTACGCAGAGCCCAGATTGACCGACGTACACTCTCCCACATGTGCACGGAATTTCGTAAACGATGTTGACGTTGCAGTTGATATATTTATGTGTGTGCTGGACTGAGCAGTGTTCTTGTCTTTCGTTCTGGGAGTTGATTTTTGGACACAGTTTTTTAAGTTTGTCAGGAGCTGATGTTACAACCTGTACGTCATATTTTGACGCTATTCGTTTCAAGTTGTGTGATACTTTGTGTTGGTAGGGTATCACTGCCGGGCGCCGTGTCTTATCTCTTCTTCTTCTTTCATTGTGAGTGGTCAGGCTCTCTGCTACATCGAACATTAAAAAACTGGTATACCCAGATTCCTGTAGTTTTTGAACTTGTGCCTCAAAACTCTGCTTGGCTGTGTGCTCGCATGATTTTTGCAAGGCTGCTATGAAGCAGCTTTTTACAATTCCTCTCTTGATTATTTTAGAATGGGCCGAATCAAATGGTAGAAGTGATTTTTTGGACCGTGGTTTGTAAGTCCAGCAAGTATGGTTGTCTTCAAAGGACAGTTGAAGATCTAGGAATTGAAGCTTGCTTTCATCTGGTAGCTCGTGGGTAAAGCTTAGTCCCTGAGATTGAGTAAGGAACGTGGTGCAGATATTGTTTACAGTTGAGTCATTTTGTTCAGGTCGTTCATGCAGTAGGACCAGATAATCATCAACATATCTGAACACCCGTGATACCAGGTTTGCTGGGAGCTTCTGGGCTATGTTCTTGTCACATTGGGCTAAGAAGATGTTACACAGAACTGGTGCCACGCATGAGCCAATGCATATTCCTTTTTTCTGGATATATGTGTTGTTGTTGAACGTCACTACAGTGGAGGTGAGGTAGAACTTCAGAAGCTCCATGAATGACTCCACGGAGATACCGCACTGATTTTGGAAGGACACAGTTCTATGGTTCTCGATGCACGCACTAGTTGCCGCAAACATTTCCTTGTGTGGGACAGAGCAAAATAAGTCTTCCACGTCTAGCGAAAACCCATACCTCACTGTCGTGCCATCTTGTTTAAGGTGTTCTATCAATGTCTGCGAGTTCGGAATCAAAAAAGGATCGTTGATTTTAAGATTTTTAAGGTGGTCTAGAAGGAATCTAGACATAGCTCCCTGCCATGATCCTTTTTCTGTTACCACTACTCGAAATGGGCAACTTTCCTTATGAGTTTTTGCCGTAAAAAACTTTTCCAATTGGACACCTTTTGCCGCGGTAATCTGTTTTTTGAGTTGAGTTAAGTCCAATCTATTGCAAAGTTGGAGAGCTTTTGCTTTTATCACTTTGGGTTTAAGCCCTTCCAAGTAGTTAAAATTCTTGTCAATCGCCAACCGAGCTTTATTAAGGTAGACTTCTCTAGGTGCCACAACGAAGCCTCCTTCCTTGTCGGAGACCAGCAGGTTTAAGTTGTTCTCTCGGAAATGGTCAACAACCCGAGATACGTTCATTTTTCTTTCACATGGTGGGCCTGCTCTCAATACTACGTCCACGCAGTCTGCTACGCATCTCGTTCTATCATTTTCTTGGGCTTTTGAAGCGATGTCGTGGATGTTAGACACCATACACACTCCTTGCTGTTTCGGCTCTGTGCAAAATTTAGGGCCTTTTTCAAGCACCTTGCGTATATTTTCTGGAAGAGGTTCTCCGCCCAACAAGGTGACAGACTCACCCTTTGGCTGCGTCTTAGGTGAACGTAGGCTTTTCAGATGAGGGACGTAAGATCCCCACAGGAATTCAGTCATCTGTCTGGCCGTGTTCAAGAAGGTCCTGTATCTGAATCCGCCACCTTTGTCATTGGGGTTTCCACACCCAGCAAGAACGCTGAGGCAATACCTGTAAAACCGCACTTGTCGCCACATTTCAGACCTTAGGATCTTGCACATCCTTTTGTTATGTTGCATGGATGGTCTTGCATATCCGAAAAGGGCACTTACTTCATGCGGTAGCACATTATGTCTGATGGCAAAAGAGTAGAACCTCGCTTTGCATGTAGAGATGGCGATGAATCCAAGTGCCGCCACAAGTGTTTTATTAGTAAAAGTAGTCTCATACGGCTTAATGCGCCTAGCATACAAAATTAAAAAAATTAAATATTTGATTATTTAATTGCAAAAATTAACTACGCATTGCAGAACGTTCATTTTCTGTCCAAGTGTATGCGGAGCGCAAGTTCGTCTGCTTCTTCTGCAGGGGTCGTGGTGACGTCAGAACGCCGAGCTCTGATTGGTTCTGAATGAAGGATAGTGGTTAGATCTCAAGGCAGCTTGCTTTGAGGTCTACCCACTATCCTTCAATCAGAGCCAACCAAAGCTCGGCGTCGTTCTGACGTGACCACAACCCCTGCAGAAGAAGCAGACGACTTTCTGCATAGCAAGTGGTCAGGAACGGACGTCAAATGTTCGGAACAAACCGTATTCATATTTAAGTTATTTTAGAAAAACTTCTCAACGAGAAGCTGGTACCCGACAAAGCCCATGCATACATGTGGTTGATTGATAGAGGCTACCAGGAACGGGCCCCATTTTTTTAACTCAAAGTTGCAGAAAATCATAACTTTTTAATAACATAACGCTGAGTTCTGAAACTGGCATCTGGTTCGGATCACTAGCGCTTCATTTTGGCGGAGTCTAAGCGTTTGGTGACGCTAGGTTTACTTTTGCGGCTAAAGAAACAACAAAAAACAACCTAAATATTTTTCTGGGACACGACGTATTTCGAAAAACGGGGCGTAATCGTACGTGAATCATTTGAAAATGTATGTTTTTCTTGATTTTTGGGCTTTGTGTTCATGCAAACATCCAGACAGGCATAAATGCCAAGTCTGAAGCTTGTCAAGGCCATGCCATTCGTTCGAGGCAGTTGACGCGGAGGAGTTTGCTGATGCCGTGCATCTAGCGTGATCATACTCGAGACTGCATGGCTAAACAACAAAAGTGATTTTTCGTTGCTTTTGCCGCGCTTTAGATTTCTGCGGTGCTTTTTGAAATTTGTGAACATTCGTTTTGTGTGCGTATTTTAGCAAGGCATGCACTTTCAAGTGCACGTGAGTGGACCGAGTCGTGGATACGTGTTGGAAGTGTACGACAACCATTTCATCCTGCCAGACTTGGGACCTATAGGTGAGTTTGAAAGCAGCACACCTTCACGTATTTAATCACCACGGGTGAATAAGAAAGTGCTTAGCACTTGCGTGAGTTCACCTATTTGCAGGCCACGCGCCACAACTAGAAACGATAATATACGCTCTAAAATTGCCTGCGTTTTTACTTACCCGCAAAACACTCAGAGAGCCAATCTTTGCGATCTAGAAAATCAGCCCAGCGTATGATGAGGCGGAACTTCCGTTTAGACCTAAAAATGAAGTCTGCGCTGTGGCACTGAGCAATGAAAAAAGTCATGCTTGCATTGCGTAATGCCACAGCGCAGACTCAATTTTGAGGTTTAAACAGATGTTCCGCCTCATCTTTTGCTGAGCTGATTCCGTAGATCGTAGAAATTGGCTCTTCGAGTGTTTTGCGTTAAGCAGATGCGCAGTCATTTTTAAGAGAGTGGCTCACGAATCGTGGATTTCCAATCTGGCTCCCAAAAATATAACCGCCCCCTAAAATTAGCGTGGCAAACAGCACCTCCATAAAAACGTCGCTCTGTGACAGCCAGATAAAACACCTAAAGAATTAGGAATGTAAACAACGTGAGCCCGGCGTATGTTTCGTAGGTCGTATGGGAGTGATGGAGTATTTTAATCGAATATTGATCTCGGGAAAAAGTCCTTAAAAATTCGTAAGTGAGAAATGAATAATGATGGTGATGGTGGTGAATATATCTGAAGACATGCGGGTATATTTTAATTTGTCGTCATGGCTTTTTGAATCGCGAGATGTTGATTTTTGTTGTATTTTTCGGGGATATAGAAAATTGAAGAACTGGAGCCAATACAGGTGTATTGAAAGCACAAGAAATGCAATTAACTGCTCTTTCAAATAACATGATGACCGATGTAGTTCTGCTGAACATTTTAAACCAGCCCACGATCGCAAACAGGCATTGATGATTGTTGTTTTGAAGAAAGCCAAGCCTACTATTTGTTGACATTAAAGGCGGACATACACACTAATCTCGAAACTGTTTTCTAGACGCACACACCACTTTTCTTTTGTCAACCTTACTTAGACTCGACGAGGACTTCTTTAAGTCTTGGTAAAAATCACGGTTGGAGAAGATACGAGCCCCACCCCTGCCCGTTTCGATCTGGATGAGCATCGTACCGGCGTGCGGTCATGTATCGCTACTGCGTGAGCACATTAAAGACCCCAGGTTAGCAGTCATACTGCACTGGCTAAATTGCTCATCTACAGTGTAAACCAGTGTCGCCCCTACTGGCAGACCGACCTTACGCTGTATAAATCACTAAAACGTCCAATTTGACTTTTGACTTTGAGAAGATACAGCATAGCAGTGCTCGGCACAATACTTTATAAAATGTCTTCGATAACGATACCCGATACCCTCAAAAGTTGTATTTCCGATGCCGATAGAAGGATTGCCAGAAGGAAAAGAGTGCAGGCGAGCTAATTAAATGACATATTTGAAAACCCTGAGAAAATGAAAAAAAACAAAAACAAAAACGGACAAGACAACAAAAGTTCTTAACCGCAGCTAGAGTTTATTGACACGGGAGCATCAATAAATACACTTTGAGACGAAAAAAAAGGTAACTAGATACCTTAATGGACAGACCAAAACTTAAAGGGGTAACGCAACGATTTTAGTGTTGAAATAATTGGTAGTTTTTATTTCTTATATCGTTTATCCAAGCACAAGTGACCAAAAACGCGTCACCTTGCCCCGAAAAACTGCTAGCCCGGCGCGTAATCGCGAAGAAGACAACGAAATATTTGCCGATCTGCAGCCCCGTATGGTGGCTAACGCAACCGACAGTCGGACCACCGGCTAAGCCTCTTCTAAATCCCCCATGCACTTGGTGCGGAAACACACGTACCCAACGAACTGAAAAACAAGCCCGAGGTCACCTTTCAAGCGACCCACAAAAGCCTCGGGTGACCTCGGGCTTGTTTTTCAGTTCGTTGGGTATGTGTGTTTCCGTACCAGGTGCATGGAGTTTTTTGGAGAGGCTTAGCCGGTCCGACTGTCGGTCGTTTTAAGTCGTGGTCTGTCCATTAAGGTACCTATTTCCCTTTTTTTTTCGTCTCAAAGGGTATTTATTAGTGCTTCCATGTCAAAAAAACTCAGCTGCGTTTGAGAACTTGTGTTGTCTCGTTCGTTTTCTTAATTGCCTTTTTCTGGTGGTTTTCAACTATACCGATATAAGACACACAACTGAAATTGATCTCGGATATAGATACTCAATACTTTATCGTCAACACTTCGACACATCACTGAAATCGCCAATATTAATAAAACTCGTGATATGATTAGCTAAGTTACGAAATTTATCCGTGGTTTCTGTAATATTTAGAGTAACCGATGTAGCAGACTTTTTTTTAAAGAGCTGAAAGGTGTATTGAGGAGGTTTTTGAGATGGCCTAAATCTGTCGATAACACACTCTGCTGGCTCTAAGCATCCTTGAAACCCTTACATCATGACGGCACGCGGATGATTCCCCAATTAGGAAAGCAATCAAAGATCGCAACCCACCGAGGTCACCTCCGGCGATGGGAAGAGCATGTTTACGCAATTAAAAAGAGCACAGTGATAGACTAGGACAAAGTAGAAGGTAACCGAAACGACAGAGCGAGCTTGTTCCGAAACCAGGACCCCTGTCAGTCAATAGAAAGCGAAGGATCCTCGCGCCTTCAACCGGGGGAACCGCGGAGTCATATCTGGAATACGCGCGGCTCGTTGCACAGCCTAAACTACGATTCATTCCAGCGAGCGCGCGCTCGAGACGTGACGACCGAACAGATCACTCCCGCGGAGAAAAACGAAACAAAAACATAGTGCGCAGCTTTTAAAATGATTATTGCAGTATTATGTTCCCTCTCCGCGACAAATAATGTTTTTCGACTATACTCCGTTTCACCTTCCGTCCGAGCACAGTGGACGCTAGGAGCCATCCCAGCCAATGTGGCGTTGAGGGAGTGTCATGCGACCTTGAGCTCCCTGTGTCGCCCCGCCCCACGGGCAGGTCACGCGACTTTCTCCCGGCGCTGGATCGGCTGGGATGGCTCGTGGCGTCCACTGCGCTCGGACTGACGGTGAAACGGAGTATAGTCTTATATGCTTTTATCATCAACAAAGGCTTACACATTTTGTAATAACAGTTTGAAGTCTCAACGACATGTCACATTTTCATTGGTCACATGTCGTCTTGGCTGTCGGAACAATACTTCACCCATCGTCAGAGAATACCTCTGTGTGTTTAATCTTTGATTACTTTTTTAATAGGGAATTCGGCCACGCATCGTTTTAATTTATAGATTTTTAGGATGCTTAGAACCAGCAGAGTGAGGGATTGCCATGTTTAGGCGATCTCAGAAATCTCATCAGGGCACCTTAGAGGGAACACTGACACTCCTCAAGAAATTGTTTTTATTTTTTGCCAGGCGATTTATTTTGGTGTCAGAGGACTACCCAATAAATATCTTGCTACTGCGTCACGTATATTTCTAATAATGCAAAAAGACGGAATTGCTCGAAACCGAAACCGAAACTGGACTAGTTGTAGGAAGAAATGTAGTGGAGAAGAAAGAGTTGCCGAAAATCACGTAACTACACCCAACTGCGTTTGTTTTGGTTATGCGGAGCGGACGCAAAACGCGCACCGTCATACTTTGCACGAAAAACTCAAACACGGTTTCTTGTTTTTCAAGAATTTACCAATTTTTGTTCATAATGCGAGCGATGTCTAGAGCCAGGAGAAAGGGCAACGACTCGGCGACGTCTTCGTGCGAATCAGCTTGGTGGTCAAGCGTGCCGTACAGAATAAATCCTAATTGTTTTGATCGGTAAAATAATTTTTTTTTGAAGCTAGGCAGATTCGCCGGTACCTTGAACAACAGTTCTCAAGTAGGGGTTTTACGCCTGTCGTCCGCGGCCATTGCCTAGTCCGCTTCGTTCAGCCGTCCAGTCCGCGACTCCCGCGATCCGACACCATGTTGAGATTTAGGCGGAGAATGCTCAGAATTCTTACAGTTCCCTCTGCAACCTTTTTCTTCTGCAATCACCGTATTTTTAACTTTCTAGAAGCTCCAAACTATGGGTATCATATTTTTGTTATTTTTAATATTGAGTGTGTGCCTTCCACGACCCACGACTTTTATTATATTTGGTGTGTGTGTCTAAAGCGTAGACAACGGCACGTGACCACGGAGAAGACAGTGAGTGCGACTCAAACCGGCCAGTTCTCGATGGGCGCTTTTCGGACAGAAAGAAAACGAATTTTGAGCCGCAATTTGTGTTCTGGTAGTTGGGCTCTCGTATGTCACGTACAAATGAAAACCTTGGCGAGCATAAATACCCTGTCAGTGTCCCTTTAAACAAATACGGCCACACAGATTTCTTTAGGCTCGAGTGTCGGCGCAGCTGGTTTCGTTAGAACTTTAGCATTGGTCTGAACCCAGGGTGACATTTAAACAATCACTTCCATAAGCAGCGCAGCGAATTTTTTAAACTAGTGTTCTTCGTGTAATCCGGTCTCTGAACACTTAACCATTGAGAAAAAAAATGTCGAGACAACCATCAGACTCGTCAAGTAAATGACCATTGTGAATTACGAGCTGGGGCACGGGTCACAACACTCGGGGTAAAGGGGCCACTCTTCTTTCGGCATGACGGACGTGGACTCCACGCACGACTCTCCCTGGCAACGTTCTGGGACGCTCAATTACTGTGAATACTGGCAAAAAATCAGGGCTGTCGACATCACGCCACCAAGTGTTAATATTCGATTACTTTCTCAATGGAAAAAGACAATAAAAATGAAAGCCGTTTACAAATCCCTGTAACGCCGAATCGGAGCGCAGCTCTTGAGGAGGAGTACGGAAGGGTACTGAGGGGGGTCACGTCACCTGCGGGTAGCCACGTGACGCCGGGGGGGTCACGTGATCTCGGGGGGGGGGGGGGGGGGGGTCACGTGACCCCCCCCCCCCCCCGGTTACGCCGACGCCGACGCCGACGCCACTCAGGCTGGAAACGGGCCCCTAAGAGCTGCGCTCTAAAAACAAATATCATGTCACTTAGTTTTGCAAGCCCCAAGCGACGGCGAGATTCCTATGCCACACCAGCCAGTCTTTTGCTTTCCCCTCTTTCTACGCGAAAAAAGATGAGCCATAGATACAGCCGCGAAAATAATAATAATAATAAAAAAATGACGCGTTAGCTTTCGCAAGCATGCGCGGCGGCAGATGTTACAACAGGGAGAGAGTGTTGCCCCGTTCCCCCCTTTCTCCGTTCCTTTATCTCCCCCCAATCTGCGATTTGCATGCTACTGTGTTTTTTTTTGTGTGTATGTGTGTGTGTTTTACAACAGAGCAACAGAGGGAGAGCTAGTCGGTGCATGCGGCATAACCAGGACCCGCCTGAAAATACCCCCCCCCCCCCCCCCTTTCCTTTGAAGTGCTATAACCCCTTCCAATCCGGTTTTTCAGTATGCGTCCGCCTTAGCCTGCGCCTCTAGCCTAACGTTTGACTCACAGCAACTTCAAAATCTGCAACACATATCTTTTTTTTTAGTATTGAGTATTGTGAAAGTACACGATGCACTAAAAATGTATTTTCGATACCGATACACCGACACTTTCATTCCTGGCAAGCGACACTTAATACCGATGCACAAAATGTATCAAAAGATAGTATCGAAGATACTTGTATCTTCGACATTGCACCTGCCTGTAGCATAGATAATATAGAGTTTGACCAGTTTCACCAGCCGTAGGTTTTATTCGTGTTTTGACCGAAATTGAAAGACAAAGAGAAAGCAGTTCGGTTAGAAAACGGCTGTACTCTAAGTCAAGCGGATATTCATCTTCATGTCTTTATCTGGATCGCCACACGGGGCTTCAAATTTCCGCTGGAATACCCACAAACCGAGAGACAAGCTTAGCTCATGGCGCGGAAAAAGGCCGGTCGGACGATTGCTGGTGTCAATGTTCCCTTTGATCATTGCGAGGTCTGTTTCTGCGGCATTGCCAGACCCGTTCGCTCAGCTGTATAGGCAGAACGACTGGACAAATCTTACTTAGAACGGTCTTTGCTTGTGCTAGGACTCAGCGTGCGTGTGGATTAACTTTTTACAGCGGAGCTCTTAAGGGTTTCCCCAGGATTGTGTCCGTCCTCAAATGATCAGATGACGAAGAACTCTGGACAGCTACCGCCATCTATGAGCGACGGCGAAAAACAGACAACCGGCTTGCCGGTTGTCTGGTTGCCACTGTCGCTCATAGGTAGCGGCGACCTTTTGAGCCTTTCCACTCTGGCTTGCCGACTTGCGGCAGGCCATTAGTTCATTCCCACCATAGTACAGCTTCGCTGGTCTTCGTTCTTTGCCAGAGTGGAAAGGATGAAAGTTTTTTTTTGTTTTTTTTTGTGTACGTGAGGGTGAGAACCGTTCCAGTTTACGCACCGACCCGTTCGCAGATGTGTGTGTGTGTGTGTGTGCAAGTGTGTGTAGATATCACCTGTTGGTGTGCGCACTGCGTGGGTTTGTGCCAACGTTAGAGTGTACTGGTACGAGTGTGACGAGCTATAGGAGGTATTCACTGGACGCCATATTTGAGGGCGATATTTAGAGCGCATGCTCAGAACGAGCTCACATCAATAGGCTGCTAAGACCGGCACTCTCGATGGTGCGGCATGCACGTCGCAAAAGAACTGTGGAAGCTCGCCATCAGCACGCACCCAGAATTCGCGCCCACAAATATGGCCGCCAGTGAATACTCCCTATAGGCTCCGCTCATGCTTTTAGTTGCACCTTAAAATGTAGAAAGCGATCAGGTGGAACCAAGCCACTTTGATCGCAGCGCCACCTTCACTGCGATAGAAGCGAGCGACGACACAGGTCAAGGTTATATGGGCAATATAGCCCTTTAGGTGTTACATTGTGCTTTTTTATAATTTTGATGTCAGAGGTAAAGTCAAAGCACCACGACACGACGACGCCACGACGTCATTGTCGACGATGTTACGCGACGCCAAGATGTTGTCGTAAGGCCGTCGTGACATCGCGTCACGTCGAGGACGACGTCGTTTGGCGACATCAAGTCGCCGTTGTGACGCGGTCGTGACGTCGCGTTGAGGACGACGCCGTTACGCGACATCAAGTTGCCATTGTGACGCGGTCCTGACATCGCGTCACGTTGAGGACGACGCCAGCACGCGACATCAAGTCGCCGTTGTAACGTGGTCATGACGTCGCGCACCACATTGAGGACGACGTGGACGTGGTCGTCGATGCCGACGTTGACGTCGACTCCCCGCGCAACGCCAAACATTGGTATGACGCCACGTTAACGTCATCCTGACGTCATCGTGAACGTCGATGCCACGACGAAGCCTTGACGGCGTGTAACATCGTCGCCTTCGCCAGCATCAATGTCGACGAGCAGTCACGACGAAGTCTTGACGTCGTGTAACGTCTTCGACGATGACGTCGACGTCGTGAAGCTGTCGGACGTCTTCGTGACGTCGAGTTGCGTCATGTCGACAATGACGTCAACAAACTGACACCAAGCGTCCTTATGACGTTGCATTGACAAGGATGCCGTCATCTTGACGTCCCGTGACGTTGTCGTCGTCGTCATCAACGTCAACGTTGACATCGTCGTAGTTGTCAACGCGATATGATATCAGAACGCAGTCATGATGTTGCGTAACGCACGCTGTCAACGTCGATAACGACGTTAACGTCAAGGCGACGTCCTGATGTCGCATGGCGTCGTGACGACAAGTCGAGTGGCGGTGACTTTATGTACTTGACGCCTGACGTCTAGGTTTTATAAAAAAAAAATGAAAGCCATTTACAACTCCCTGTAACGCCGAATTAGAGCGCAGCTCTTGAGGAGAGGAGGGAAGGGTACTGAAGGTCACGTGTTCTGGGGGGGGTCACGTGACCGGGGGGTGTGGTGGTCAGGTTACCTTGGGGGTCCCGTGACCCCCCCCTCCTCCCGAAGTCACTTGACCCCCAAGGTCACGTGACCCTCTCCCCAAGGTCACGTGGGGGGTCACGCGGCCTCGGCTGGGGGTCACGTGACCCCCCACGTCACGACTCCCAGAGCTAGATTTAGCGGGAAAATTTTTCCGCTAGATTTAGCGGGGAAATTTTTCCGCTAGGTTTAGCGTGAACAGTTTTCCGCTCAATTTAGCGGGGAAATTTTCCCGCTAGATTTAGGGAAAAATTTTTCCGCTAAATTTAGCGAGGAAATTTTTCCGCTAGATTTAGCGGGGGATTTAGCGGAGAAATTTTTCCGCTAATTTTAGCGGAGAAATTTTTCCGCTAAATTTAGCGGGGAAATTTTTCCGCTAGATGTAGTGGGAAAATTTACCGATAGTGCACCGCGCGGTTACGCCGACGCCGACGGCGACTGCGACGCCGCTCAAGCCGGAAACGGGCGCCTAAGAGCTGCACTCTAAAAATATAGTCCGGCGTTCTATCGTTTCCATGACATTGACCAGTGTGCCGGTCGAGCTTGGCGTTGGAGTGAAACGCGTTTTTCATAAAAAGCGGCTAATCCGAACCACTACGCTCATAGCGCCCTCTCGGGCGCTACGAGCGAAGTGGATTGGATTAGCCGTTTTCTTCCACACGCGGAGGGACCAAAAGAGCACTCCGGTGGCCCCACTCGCAATTTCTAGTACATTCTACGAACGTCCCGCTTATGCGTGTTGCGCGTGTCTTAGGGCAGGCTAGTGTGTTCGCGTCTGCGTGCGGTTAGGTCCACTTATTTCTGGTGTATGTTTTTGTTCTTTTGAGGTTGTAAAGGAAATATAGCTACCATTCAGAGTTCGGGTCTACCTTCTTCCCATTACTCGCGAAAGCAACCGCATTTCGATTAGATTTTAAGAAACCACAAAAGAAAATTTCAAACGTTTCTAAAAGTGGCCTGACGAGCTTCGTCAGAAGAATCTCAAAAAGCTAATTTATTGTTCAAATATTTACTGGCTGGGGTTCGCAAACCGGAGGGGAAAACGGGGCATTAAAAGTGGACTTTCCTTGCAAAGGACGTAGCTTCAGGAGCTTTTCTCTAGTGCCGACGGTGCTTTTGTCCTTGACGCGTGTAGTCTCGGCGATTACCTAGCGAAACTGGTAATTTTGTTGCAGCTAAATTTTTATAAAACGGGCTTTTTGTGTTCGACCAAGTGTACGTTGTTGTTTCTTTTTCTTTGCATTTTTTTTTGCCTTTTTGGCACGTGTCGTTTCACGGACAATATACCGGTGTTGCAGGAGCCAACGGACTGGCCAACCCGAGAGATTTCAAGACACCGACAGCCTGGTTCGAAGATCGGGAAGTGAGCAATTTCACCCTCGTCAACAAATACCAGGGCCTGTTCTTCCAGACCATCCTGGTAAGCTGCTAGTGATGCGATAGACGAGTGCACCTTGAACGAGTTTTTCTTGAAGGGTGCTCGCGCGTATGGGGAATTTGACTTATGAAGGCATTGCATACACAGCGAATTCGTGCAGTCATAGAGGAATGGCTACCGCAGTAACAGTTACTCTTGATGTCTCTCATCAATAACTATCGCAGTGTTATTCTTCGAATGCACTTTTTATATAAAAAATACTTAGTAAGTAATACAGTTTGATTTGACACATGCTGTACAGCCGATTTTCGTAGTCTTCCTATGGTGAGGGTGCCCATGGACAACGCTCACTTTATCTTTATCACGATTGTTGTTTATAATACCAGCAACCTGCCACCGCTTTGTGGAACTCCTACGGTGCCACGCGGGCGGTCACGTAATGCCGCCGTCCCACCGCCGCGGCATCCGGAGATCGGATGACTCGAGCCGCCCGTGACGTGAGAAGGCTTGACCGTACGCAGATATCGCGAAAAGAAGAAAAAACCGTTCGTACTTTGCTACCGACTGGAGTAGTCTCTCTCTAAATACGAGTTGAGACGCCCAATATAAAAATGATGATCATCAACATCGTCCTTAATTATTTTATATTCATTTCTACTTCTTACCCGCTGGAGCGTTCGCGTCTGTCCTTGGATTTTCCCAAGAGCAATCGCTGAATAAGTCCGACCCGGGCCTGCACGTTTTGTCCTCAAAATAAATTAATTTATTTTAATTTATCGTTCCCTTTAGCGCCCGATGGATTTACAGAGGGTAGCAATAGTCCCGGAAAGGTGGTTTCAGTTTTGGGATGTACGGTACTACGGGGGACCAAAGATGAATGAAAGGTTGTCGTTATCGGACTTGGGACGCCGACCTTGTCCTAATGATCGAGGCGTGAGGAAACATAAACAGGGGGGAGAGCGGATCAATTGGTCGCGCGGAATGAAGTTATACAAATAAATTTTATAAAGTAAAGAACGGCGAGCAACCTTCCGGCGGAAGGACGAAAGTGAAGATAAAACGAGCAGACCTCTTTTCGATGGCCTCCGATGCAAAATTGAGATTCCGGGATCCCAGACAGAGCATGCATATTCTAAGATTGGACGAAATTAAGGTTTTATAAATGATTAACTTGAGTGAAACAGGTCTCAAGTAAATAATTTGTTTGATGTAACCCAACAAACAATTAGCATTAGCGGTTATGCACTGTATATAGGTGTTTCATTCAAGGTTAGACGTTTTGTGCATTTCGAGATATTTGTACGAAGCCACCAACTCTAGATCGGCTTCGCAGAGGAATAATGGCTGTCGTGAGACTGGCGAAACACTCGTATGTCCTAGCATTTGTTAATAGTGAGATTCATAGACCGCAGGTCGCACCACCGGGATACATCCTTGAGCCTTGATGTCGGACTGGAGCATATCTATATTATGATGATCTTGCGTCTCACGATGAATAACACAATCGTCAGCGAACAGACATATAGATGAGAATATATTTGTTAACAGGTCTTTAATATAGATAAAAAAATGGCCCCCGGCATAATATTTTGGGAAGCAAGAGAGAGAAAAGTTACAAAATTGACAGAACAAATTGGGACCGATGGGATAAAAAATATGAACATGATGCAAGAGCGTAAGCGTCTATGTTAAGCCGTGAACGTTTGTGAAGGAGAAGTTTGTGAAATAATTTATCAAATCAAATGCTTTAACAAAAAAAAAGAAAAGAAAAGGAAAAGACAGTTTTTATGGGATCGATGGTATAGAATGCGGTGAAGATCATGGATGAATGATACGAGCTGTGTTTCACGTAAAAAATGTTTTTAAAAACCATTTTGAACTGGATAAAATGTTTAAAAGAACTGTCATGGTGAGAGGCAATAACATGCTCGAGAAGCTTGCAGGAGACGCTGGGCATTAAGATCAGGCGATGATTATAAGGAGAAAATTTATCACCTGCCTTGGAAATAGGTATTAACTTTCCTACCTTCCAGTTTGAAAGCAGATCAATATTTTGGAAAGACTATTCGAACGATTTATTTAAATCAAGAAAAAAGTCAACTTTAATATTTAAGAAACATAGAATTAACACCTTCCAATTCCTCTGAAGATGACAATCTTCGCTTTCCTATGATTTGAGCGACACCGACATAATAAAAAAATGGGATTCATGGGAAAATAATCAACACTGTTCATCGACGTAGGTGTTATCCTTGAACACCCTCACAATATGGGGAATTTGTACCATATGTATGGAGGTTTTGTACGTCCTGAAATGTCTGGTCTACTTGTATTCGGAGCGCACGAAGAAATTGAAACGAGCAAAATAAGGAGAACCAGGATTAAGCAATATTTTGTTTTCGAAATGTCAGTTCTGTGCTCAAATAGCTGAGAATGCGGAATATCGCGCTTGGTGTCTAAAAGCCGGTCAGCTTTTTTTTTTTCTTTTTTTTTTTTTACAAAGTGCGTCATTTTGGTAATAATAATTATGGGAATGCCAATAGGTCTCGGTAGACGTACATGTACTGAATGATGTTTCACTGAAATCAAATTGTCAAGAGAAATGCATCGGTACGGTTGGGTTTGTCGAAAATAACTCCGTAGCAAGGTTGATTGAAATACACGCTGTACCTTGCTTGCACGCTAAACAAATTTTCGATTGCCACAGGACCATTCTCCTTTTGATGTGGTGGCCTGGCACGGAAACTACGTGCCTTACAAATACGACCTGGCCAACTTTGTGGCCGTCAGCTCGGTGTCCTTTGATCACAGTGTAAGTAGACGTCGAGCTTTTCATAGTTGTCTACTTGGAAATAATAATTATCATTTTATAATGACTATAATTACATTCCTTTAACTACCGTTGCCCTCATATATAGTGACGAGCGCGAGGGCGACTTGTATCATAACTACTCTAATACTAGGCTGACAACGATGAAGGTTTTTCTAAAGACGCGGCACATCGATCATCAGCAAGTTCGCAAATAACTAGGCTCATACGGTTATATTTTTTAGATTGTTGTCTTGGTTATTAAAAACATGTGGCTTCAAGCCTGATTTATCGTACGTTAGAAGCACCGTGTTCGCGATGTAAAAGTTTGTTGAGAAGTGTCGGATATATTTACTAATCGTCCATCTAACCCGGAATTTCCTATACATTTTTTTTAAAGAGTGCAATTACCTTTGAAAGATCGAGCATGCAGATTTGTGCGAAATATAGTAAGCGCTTGAGCATTGAGCGAGCTCTAGTTGAACAATTGGACACGGAAACAGAACGAGCACTGGGCCATGATTGAGCAGGACGACACATGCTGTCACTGTTCTAGATAACTACGGCTCTTGTGGTTCAGATCATAAATGCCAAGCAGTTTTGTCTGCTAATCGTATTTGCCTGAGCAAAACGTCTCTGGATATGCGATCACACTCATCTTTTCACGCTTCTTCTCTTTGTGTGCGGAGATAGTGCACGTGCTCACGGTTTCGAGGCTCTACCCTCGTGGACGAGAGTCGCGTGTTGTTTGTCTTGATCGCCGTAGATAAGCTTAGAAAAAATGGTCCAGCTGTGTGAAAGGGAACAGATTTATGCATATTTTTGTTCCGCACCAACGAATGTTAAGTCGAGAAAAATGTTCATGTGGGCAAAAAACGGCGCATTTTTACAGTTTGAAAAGGGCTAAATTTAGATTTGTGTAGTCTAAATAGAAAGCGTTACTTCGAGACAAATTAAGACTCTGCTGTAGCAAAATTCGTTGAGTGCATTGTTGCCCGGTCTTGTCGACGGTGGGATAGTTTCACTTGTGCTAACTTTGCTCTTATGAGTTATCTTGAGCCATTCCACCAGCGTTTTTTGAAGGACGACCCGTGCAGGTCTTATAAATTCACAGATTGATCGAGAACCCCAAGAAGGCGAATGATAGACACGCGTGTCCCTAAGTATAGCTCTGCGAAAGTGGTTATCATGTGAAGCTTACCATATACTTAAAAAAAAAGATGTATGAGACTGGTTGTGCTTTGAATGTATGACGGGATACGTATACGTTCGAAGTCTGACTCTGCATGTACTTTCGTGCAAAATTATGAAGGAAAACCGTCATTGTAACCTACGACAGAAGAGTAAGTCACGAGGAAGATATATTTTTGGAAGAATAGTATATGAATTGAAAAATGTGGGCCAGTGAAATGCCCTCGAACGTTAATTCGAAAAATAAATGACCTTAAGTCAATATTGTATTAAACTGCGTTTAGATAAATCATAGTAATAGTGTCACCACTTCATGTGCTACCCGAATAAGTGTACGCAATGACGCCTAAGGCAAAACAGCGTCATGGTTTGCATAATACGTTGTCGTTAATCTATATTTAGAAATAATGGAAACAGCGCGCAAACGACAAGGACGGGAGGAAAAGGAGTACACAGGACGAGCGCTCGTCCTGTGTACTCCTTTTCCTCCCGTCCTTGTCGTTTGCGCGCTGTTTCCATTATTTCTAAGCATGAACCAACTCGCCCACATCGCTACTTTGATTCAGTTAATCTATACTTTAAATCGTTTTCAGGATTCTTCCATCTTCACCCTTCTGACCTGTTCGTCCGCAAACCTCGGAAAGGCGCTCGTCAATGTAACCATCTTTCGACCACGTTGGTCTGTGGCAGATCACACCTTCAGGCCTCCTTTTTACCACAGTAAGAAAGACAGCGTGTCCTCTACTAGGTGGAATATGGGGACGGTGCACAGGACAGGGCATACTCGTACAGAAAGGACATACATGGTCATATCAATAATTGGGAAATAGGACCATATATATATATATATATATATATATATATATATATCATTGCTATATATCGGGGGGGGGGGGGGACCTTACTTGACCAAGTCTTGATATGGCCCTCTATGACACATCTGTACAAGTGGTTAAGAAGACAATGATAACTAAGCAAAAAACGGAGACGGATACGTAATCCGATCCAAGCAAATTTTTTTTAACGAATATAATTACACAACAGTTGCTTCTATGGTGACCGACAGCTGAAGGAACGCAGGAAATGGACTATTATGTTCAAGCTTCACGCTTCCCGATTGGTTCTTTGGCGTTCTCATCAGCTAACGCCTATATTTCATTGGCTGCGAAGCGATGATTAAATGCTCGGGGATCACCAGGTCCTGCGTTGTCAACTTAGGAATGTGCACTCGCCTGGAAACGAAACGTAATTCCTTTCAAACGTTTCTTTTTAAAATGGTAATCTCAATTTTATTTGTGGCATTTCGCGATGTGCCCCGAGGGCACGAGAATCGATTTATAGAAAAGCAATTATATCAATAATTCATCACAGATGTAGTACAAGTGACGTAATTATTGTAGGTATATGTATATTTAATCACGAATAAAGCTGTACTTTCTTTAAGAAAAAAATTTCATTTTCACATTTTCGGCCAGTTAGCAACTTGCATCAAAAATCTATAATTGGTCACCTTTTAAAATGCTTTGGTCAGCAGCACCTACGAGCAAGAGGCCCTAAATGTTTGTTGTTCGCGCAGCTCTATTCCATTCAATTTTAACAGTAATTTCTGTTAAGAAATATCGAGTAACAAAGTGCTGTGTGGCATGCATCCTGAGTGAAACCGTACACGTGTCCGATAATTCTCTTTAGATAAATAATAGACTGCTGTTGATACCTTTTCTACGAAAAAACGACATATAACGAGCGGAATTTGTGACGTCTGAAACCCCAATATTTATTTTAGCTCTGCGCGAAGCATTAGAATGTGGCTTAAATGCACATATCAATTTGTGCTTTAGTAGAGCCGAGTATTTGCCAAGAAAAGCAAGGTCCAATTAAAACCAGAAATCTAGCGGAGCAGAACGAGATGTTTGAGAGTCACTAAATCACGTGGGTTGCTTCACTCCACGCAATTACTCGTTAATGCTAGATTTTTCTTAGTCTAAATTAAACGTACGTTTAATGCTTAGGTGCTCATTAAAACTTTTTTATGCATTATCGCATTTTTGAGTAATTGGAAGGCCCTGCCTCTGATGAATTGTCAAATATTTTTAATTATCTCTCGTCATCGAATGTGATTAAAGAAATAAATAGGTAAGCCCTGACCAGTCGTCTCGACCGGCTGGTTTTGTCCCTGAGTGGCGGTATTTTAAAGCATATATATTAGTTTCTTCTCACATGGTTCTGTACAAGTTGTGCTTTTGTGAAACTGTAGGCTTGGCGTAAAAAAGGTTATAAAACGCTCTTAGGAACCTTTTTTTTCTTTTAAAGCTTGTCGTACTTCTGATGGCGAGATGAGCCAAACTGGACTATTGTAAGTGACTCCTGACTTTGCATATTTATCTCTTCCACAGGAAACAGCATGAGTGAGTTCATGGGACTGATCTCCACTGAATACAAACTCGGTGTAAGTAAGCTAATAAAACAATTAAACGAAGACACTTAATGCTGCTTACCCGTAGGAATGCTGTCGCATTCCTACACGCAGCGCGTTCCTACAAGCAGCGCTAAACATCTTCCTTTTTCACACGGCGGTCCGGGGGTGTCATCACGCTCCTCCACTGCGCGGGTGCGGCACCCCCGCCGGCTCCACGGCTTCCTTGACGATGCATCCGCGTTGCTGTGCTTTTCTTTGCGTTTTATTTCTGAAGCGCGTCCGCTTTGACCTTGAGCGCCCTGCCGGCTTCCTTGACGAGGCATCTGCGTTGCTGGACTTTTCTTTGTGCTTTATTTCTGAGGCGCGTCCGCTTTGACCTTGAGCGCCCTGCCGGCTTCCTTGACGATGCATCCGCGTTGCTGTGCTTTTCTTTGTGTTTTATTTCTGAGGCGCGTCCGCTTTGACCCTGAGCGCCCTGCCGGCTTCCTTGACGAGGCATCTGCGTTGCTGGGCTTTTCTTTGTGCTTTATTTCTGAGGCGCGTCCGCTTTGACCTTGAGCGCCCTGCCGGCTTCCTTGACGATGCATCCGCGTTGCTGTGCTTTTCTTTGTGTTTTATTTCTGAGGCGCGTCCGCTTTGACCCTGAGCGCCCTGCCGGCTTCCTTGACGAGGCATCTGCGTTGCTGGGCTTTTCTTTGTGCTTTATTTCTGAGGCGCGTCCGCTTTGACCTTGAGCGCCCTGCCGGCTTCCTTGACGATGCATCCGCGTTGCTGGGCTTTTCTTTGTGCTTTATTTCTGAGGCGCGTCCGCTTTGACCTTGAGCGCCCTGCCGGCTTCCTTGACGAGGCATCTGCGTTGCTGGGCTTTTCTTTGTGCTTTATTTCTGAGGCGCGTCCGCTTTGACCTTGAGCGCCCTGCCGGCTTCCTTGACGAGGCATCTGCGTTGCTGGGCTTTTCTTTGTGCTTTATTTCTGAGGCGCGTCCGCTTTGACCTTGAGCGCCCTGCCGGCTTCCTTGACGATGCATCCGCGTTGCTGTGCTTTTCTTTGTGTTTTATTTCTGAGGCGCGTCCGCTTTGACCCTGAGCGCCCTGCCGGCTTCCTTGACGAGGCATCTGCGTTGCTGGGCTTTTCTTTGTGCTTTATTTCTGAGGCGCGTCCGCTTTGACCTTGAGCGCCCTGCCGGCTTCCTTGACGATGCATCCGCGTTGCTGTGCTTTTCTTTGTGTTTTATTTCTGAGGCGCGTCCGCTTTGACCCTGAGCGCCCTGCCGGCTTCTTTGACGAGGCATCTGCGTTGCTGGGCTTTTCTTTGTGCTTTATTTCTGAGGCGCGTCCGCTTTGACCTTGAGCGCCCTGCCGGCTTCCTTGACGAGGCATCTGCGTTGCTGGGCTTTTCTTTGTGCTTTATTTCTGAGGCGCGTCCGCTTTGACCTTGAGCGCCCTGCCGGCTTCCTTGACGAGGCATCTGCGTTGCTGGACTTTTCTTTGTGCTTTATTTCTGAGGCGCGTCCGCTTTGACCTTGAGCGCCCTGCCGGCTTCCTTGACGATGCATCCGCGTTGCTGTGCTTTTCTTTGTGTTTTATTTCTGAGGCGCGTCCGCTTTGACCCTGAGCGCCCTGCCGGCTTCCTTGACGAGGCATCTGCGTTGCTGGGCTTTTCTTTGTGCTTTATTTCTGAGGCGCGTCCGCTTTGACCTTGAGCGCCCTGCCGGCTTCCTTGACGATGCATCCGCGTTGCTGTGCTTTTCTTTGTGTTTTATTTCTGAGGCGCGTCCGCTTTGACCCTGAGCGCCCTGCCGGCTTCCTTGACGAGGCATCTGCGTTGCTGGGCTTTTCTTTGTGCTTTATTTCTGAGGCGCGTCCGCTTTGACCTTGAGCGCCCTGCCGGCTTCCTTGACGAGGCATCTGCGTTGCTGGGCTTTTCTTTGTGCTTTATTTCTGAGGCGCGTCCGCTTTGACCTTGAGCGCCCTGCCGGCTTCCTTGACGAGGCATCTGCGTTGCTGGACTTTTCTTTGTGCTTTATTTCTGAGGCGCGTCCGCTTTGACCTTGAGCGCCCTGCCGGCTTCCTTGACGATGCATCCGCGTTGCTGTGCTTTTCTTTGTGTTTTATTTCTGAGGCGCGTCCGCTTTGACCCTGAGCGCCCTGCCGGCTTCCTTGACGAGGCATCTGCGTTGCTGGGCTTTTCTTTGTGCTTTATTTCTGAGGCGCGTCCGCTTTGACCTTGAGCGCCCTGCCGGCTTCCTTGACGATGCATCCGCGTTGCTGTGCTTTTCTTTGTGTTTTATTTCTGAGGCGCGTCCGCTTTGACCCTGAGCGCCCTGCCGGCTTCCTTGACGAGGCATCTGCGTTGCTGGGCTTTTCTTTGTGCTTTATTTCTGAGGCGCGTCCGCTTTGACCTTGAGCGCCCTGCCGGCTTCCTTGACGAGGCATCTGCGTTGCTGGGCTTTTCTTTGTGCTTTATTTCTGAGGCACGTCCGCTTTGACCTTGAGCGCCCTGCCGGCTTCCTTGACGAGGTATCCGCGTTGCTGGGCTTTTCTTTGTGCTTTATTTCTGAGGCGCGTCCGCTTTGACCTTGAGCGCCCTGCCGGCTTCCTTGACGAGGCATCTGCGTTGCTGGGCTTTTCTTTGTGCTTTATTTCTGAGGCGCGTCCGCTTTGACCTTGAGCGCCCTGCCGGCTTCCTTGACGATGCATCCGCGTTGCTGTGCTATTCTTTGTGTTTTATTTCTGAGGCGCGTCCGCTTTGACCCTGAGCGCCCTGCCGGCTTCCTTGACGAGGCATCCGCGTTGCTGGGCTTTTCTTTGTGCTTTATTTCTGAGGCGCGTCCGCTTTGACCTTGAGCGCCCTGCCGGCTTCCTTGACGAGGCATCTCGTTGCTGGGCTTTTCTTTGTGCTTTATTTCTGAGGCGCGTCCGCTTTGACCTTGAGCGCCCTGCCGGCTTCCTTGACGAGGCATCTGCGTTGCTGGGCTTTTCTTTGTGCTTTATTTCTGAGGCGCGTCCGCTTTGACCTTGAGCGCCCTGCCGGCTTCCTTGACGAGGCATCCGCGTTGCTGTGCTTTTCTTTGTGTTTTATTTCTGAGGCACGTCCGCTTTGACCTTGAGCGCCCTGCCGGCTTCCTTGACGAGGCATCTGCGTTGCTGGGCTTTTCTTTGTGCTTTATTTCTGAGGCGCGTCCGCTTTGACCTTGAGCGCCCTGCCGGCTTCCTTGACGAGGCATCCGCGTTGCTGTGCTTTTCTTTGTGTTTTATTTCTGAGGCACGTCCGCTTTGACCTTGAGCGCCCTGCCGGCTTCCTTGACGATGCATCCGCGTTGCTGGGCTTTTCTTTGTGCTTTATTTCTGAGGCGCGTCCGCTTTGACCTTGAGCGCCCTGCCGGCTTCCTTGACGAGGCATCTGCGTTGCTGGGCTTTTCTTTGTGCTTTATTTCTGAGGCGCGTCCGCTTTGACCTTGAGCGCCCTGCCGGCTTCCTTGACGATGCATCCGCGTTGCTGTGCTATTCTTTGTGTTTTATTTCTGAGGCGCGTCCGCTTTGACCCTGAGCGCCCTGCCGGCTTCCTTGACGAGGCATCCGCGTTGCTGGGCTTTTCTTTGTGCTTTATTTCTGAGGCGCGTCCGCTTTGACCTTGAGCGCCCTGCCGGCTTCCTTGACGAGGCATCTGCGTTGCTGGGCTTTTCTTTGTGCTTTATTTCTGAGGCGCGTCCGCTTTGACCTTGAGCGCCCTGCCGGCTTCCTTGACGAGGCATCTGCGTTGCTGGGCTTTTCTTTGTGCTTTATTTCTGAGGCGCGTCCGCTTTGACCTTGAGCGCCCTGCCGGCTTCCTTGACGAGGCATCCGCGTTGCTGTGCTTTTCTTTGTGTTTTATTTCTGAGGCGCGTCCGCTTTGACCTTGAGCGCCCTGCCGGCTTCCTTGACGAGGCATCTGCGTTGCTGTGCGTTTATTTGTGTTTAATATTTTTTCTGAGGCGCATTGGCTTTGGAGCCAATGGGAATTCATGTGTCGTCTTGCTAAGCCAATGTGATTTTACGTGCAGTTTTTCTCAGCCAAAACGGGAATTTAGATGCCGTTTCACTCAGCCAATGGGTATTTAGGTGCCGTTTTTCGCTCCATGGGACAGTTAATGCTTTCGCATTAATAAAAACAACAATTGCGGATGCTTTTTATTTGTCGATTAGATGGTTATGGGCAGCGTTTAATTTTACGAGAAACACAACCAACGCTGAGGCTCACTATTCACTATCGTGGCAAGGGCAGTCGTGTCCTTTTAAAACGTCGCCTGGTCGCTCTTTCTTTTCTTTTCCTTGCGAGGACACGCGACGAGTGCGAGCGAGTGCAGTTGGTTCGCGGAGCAGGTGTTTAATGGCTGGCCAACTCCATAGAGTTACTACAATAAACGCTAAATGCTCAGCTGGCGCTAGTGTCTACGGGACTTCCGGTTGCAAATTAAAGCAGACAGCAAACAGTCTACTTTTCCAGTTTTCCTCTGTATTCTTATGGGAAAACGTACGTGATATTCTTTCTCTTTGCCAGGGAATAATAGAAATCAGCGTAGTTTCTTTATTTGTGACGGGTACTATGTAGCTTTGTTTACATTATAAAAGTGTAATTTGTTTAGTTAATGTTTTTTTTTATTACTGAGCGATGTTTGAGTTAGCGAAAATTGAGGCCCAGGTCTATATTGTACAGCGTGATGTCAGTACAAGCTATCAATTCTAGCAAAAAAATGAAAGCCGTTTACAACTCCCTGTAACGCCGATTTAGAGCGCAGCCCTTGAGGAGGAGGAGGGGAAGGTACGGAGAGGAGGCTGTGCCCCTCCTCCTCTCCTGCTCGCCTCCCATTTAGGGGAAAATTTCCCTGCTAAATTTAGCGGGAAAAATTTCCCGCTAGACGTAGCGGGGAAAATTTTCTTCGCTAGATATAGACCGTTTCATTAGGGTCATAGCAGAGAGGGTAAAAAGAGAAAAAAAAATGCCTTCCCCCTCTCACCCGCATGTCGTCTGCTCCGCCGAGTGGGCAGTACCTAGCCACCGGCTGGCATACAAACTCTGTTTAAAATCACGTCATTATAGAAATTTCAAGCGCATATGCGCAGATTTTGGTATGCCAGTTATCGTGTATTACTATGCTAGATAAAAATACTAACAGAATCCAATTGCGCTGTTATCTGCGTGCAAATAAAAAACAATAGGGAAAACTGTGTTAGACTGGCCGGTCTCTCCAGCGAAAAGTGAATCCGGTGGCTGTACCTTTTTTACTATACAGAGTTCGTACTGGTGTAGGCCTTAAGCGACCATGAGTGGGTGTCTAAAATAATAAATAAAAACGTGCTCTCCTGCCGCAATACACGCAGTAGTTGAGGGTAGTACTGTCGGCTGACTCAACTGCTATTTAAGTAACGGAAAAAAAATATGTCAGTTGATCATTTACCGAAGCAGAACAACAGAGAGCTCTAGGCTGATTTTGGAGTAGCCATAACTATTCTAAGAACGCGAACCACTCCACAACGGCAGCCACGAGCGAGAGTTCGATGTTCAGTACAGCCCGCCGATACAGCCCAAAGATGGAGAATGGCAAACTCCCGTTTTGTCGTCTGCTAGCGGAGTCAGGCGCGTGCCCTCTCTCCCGTTTTACCCCGCCGAACCCGCTGAATTTCCCTGATGTATAGAGAGGGCGCTGCTGTCGAACAAAATGGTGCCGCCCAGAGAGAGCTAAATGGAATGGTCTATAGCGGAGAAATATTCCCCGCTAAATTTAGCGAGGAAAAGTTTCCGCTAAGTATAGCGAGAAAAATTTTTCGATAAATTTAGTGGGGGAAAATTTTCCGCTAGATTTAGCGGGAAAAATTTTCTGCTAAATTTAGCGGGGAAACTTTTCCGCTAGATTTAGCGGGGAGAACTTCCCGCTGGATTTAGTGGGAAAAATTTTCCTCTAGATTTAGCGGCGAAAATTTTCCGCTAGATTTAGCGGGGAAAATTTCCCGCTAGAATTAGCGGGGAAAACTTTCCGCTAAATTTAGCGGGAAAAATTTTCCGCTCAATTTAGAGGAGAAATTTACCCATCATTCACCGCGCGGTTACGCCGACGGCGACGGCGACGCCACTCAAGCCGGAAACGGGCGCCTAAGAGCTGCGCTCTAAAACATGAAAGACGTTTACAATTCTCCGCAACGCCAAATTGGAGCGCAGCTCTTGAGGAGGAGGAGGGGAAGGTATGCGTCTCCTCCTTCCCTGCTAAATTTAGCGGGAATATTGACAATGTTAAATGCGGGGACGTCACGTGACGTCAAGTGTGACGTCACACGTTACGTGTTTCTCATATTGACGTCACACACGGCGTCACGAGGGTAACGTTTTGCCGCTACCCTCGTGAACACTCCCGGGAATAACGAGGGCAACCCTCACGGGGATTATCCTTACGAGGGTAGCCCCCGTGGAGGTGACCTTCATGAGGGTTACCCTCACGGGGGTGAGGGTAACCTTCATGTGGGTTACCCTCATAAAGGCAACCCCCTTGAGGGTTACTCTCATGGGGTCACCCTCATCCCCATGAGCGTTATGTAACCCCGTGAGTGTAACGTAACCTCCGTGAGGGTAGCCCTCGTGAGGGTAATGATCACGGGGATCACGTCACCCTCACGGGAGTTACCCTCACGAGAGTAAACCTCGTGAGGATAACCCTGGTTAGGGTTACCCTCACGAGGGTAATCCTCGTAACGTCACGTGTGACGTCACACGTCCCATAAAGTAGCGCGCGGTTACGCCGACGCCGCTCAGCCCGCAAACGGGCGCCTCAAGGCTCGTTCACACTCTTGCAACCGAGTAAGACCGAGAGAGACAGAACCGGTTTTTAAGCCTTTTGCGACGTCTTAGGACCGGGTGCGCTGCTGCGGAGCTGGTCCTAAGACGTCGTAAGAGGATTAAAAACCGCTCTTGTCTCTCTCGGTCGTACTCGGTTGCAAGAGTGTGAACGAGCCTTTAGAGCTGCGCTCTTAAAGGAGCTGTGCAACGATATTCAATTGGAATGTATCTCTCTATACACGAGCTTACTGGCACACCTGGGACTCAAGGATACTCACACGCAACGCCATTGGCCAAGAAACTCCTTTGTTGCGGTGTAATTTCAAGGACAAAAGCGATCCTTTTCATTCAATCTCTCCTTTGCAAAATTTGATGACGTAACTCGGGGGTCCCAGTACACCCAAGTGACGATATTTGAATGCGGTTCATAGATTGGACCCGAGCATTGCGTGGGCACTCGACTTGGGCTCGTGACAATTGCTAGCTCGAGAAGCATTCGGGTTTTGACCCGTGTCCAATCGCTGCAACGACGACAACAGCCGAGCCATAACAATGCCTGGAACTCAGCGCGTGTCCTGCGCTTTGCCAACCCCAGCGCGTGGCTATGATCAACACTGGCGGCATATAATCGGCTCCAGATCACGTGGCCGCTTGTTCTGGCTGCGAGTTGAGGGGGTGAACGCTGCTCGTTTTTCTTAAATTGTTTTCTGGAACTTCTATTGCGTGGGGTTAAAAACGAACGCGTGTTTCATAGGTCATTAACGTTAGGGATCCGTTTTAAGCGGTATTTGCGCAAAGTACAAATATTGTTGCATTGGTCCTTTAAAGAGTCAATACAAAGTGCGTAGGGTTTATTCAAGCTGTTGTACCATTCAGATGACGGAAACGCAGTTCGTTATTAATGCACAGTTTGTTACTAACTCAGTAAGTATTCTTAGTTTCATAACTCCATGCTGTGTTCTTGTCGTCTGTTTTGATTGTTTGATTTGGCATATATTAGCACCCTTTTGGTATTTTGTCAATTTGATTCACTAAGTGCGTGCCCTATAATAGCAGTCCGCAACGTTAACACGTCTTATACACGTGCATTGGGCTATTTTAGCGCAGTGTTCAAGGCCACGAATTCCAAAAAAAAAAAACACTCTAAGTGACACATATTTTTGTAGATCCGATTGTAAAACGTTCCAAACTTTTTATTCTCTGGTAGCACTAAGCAAAGTTTGCTCTTAGAATCGAGCGCGAAGAGAAAACGCATGCGCGTTTTCCAATAGGAATGGATTACCGGAAGTCAGATTTAGATTGTTTGTAGTCGGCTTCAGAATGCAACAGCACACGAGCGACACCTGAACCTCCAGCGTTTATTGCAATAACTCTATAGCCAACTCTCAACAAGTCGCAGGATGAGAGCGGCACGGCGTCGTTTTCAGCTTCCCGAGTTAACTGCTGTGGTGTGTGCTCGAGGCGAACGAGATGTCGAAGCCATATTTAATGTAGAAATACAGAGCTCAAGGCAAAACACCTAAAGGACCGCCCTGCCGTTGCCATGCTCTCAGTGACTAAATAGCGTCAGTTAAATAACGTATGACTGCCATGTTTCTTGCTGTTTATTGGAGTTGGGCAGCGATCTAAGCACGCAATCAAACGCCGTTCAACGGCTGTAGGGCGGCTGCAAGCCTGCTTCCTCGGTAGACAAAGCTGACTCCAATGACCACATCTTTGTCGACGTTCCAAGTCAGAGGAGAGTTAGGGGCCAAAGGCTTCAACGAAATCTGCACTGTTGATCTGACGTGTATTGCATGTCTGGAAGCGTATTAGGCTAAAAAAGGCAATGAAATGCTCCATCTATACTTCATTAACCCCTAAGGTGACAGTGACGTGGAAGCTTCGTGCTCCTTGGACCAGTCAAACGTCTATCTTTAACGTGACCTCGTTCTCGGCTATATCCACGCGCAGAGAGCTTGACTGCAGAAAGAAGAGTCTGTCGATTGATCTGGCAAGCAAGTATAGCTTCCACACACTCTCATATTAGGGGGAGAACTGAGTACAAGATTTTCCAGGTTGGATTTTAGTTGGCAATAGGGAGCTGAGTAGTTTCCCCACGTTCATTCGTAAATTCCGCTCTAGGGAAGTTTTAGAAACGTGGTTTCACTTTCGGTTATTCGCGTTAGGCCATGTGGATGAGCAGCATTCGCTACTTTTCATAATGGTTTGCATACAGAGGATTAGTTATAAGCGTTGTTGCTGAAACTCTCAAGCACAGAGAGTGACTCCGTCGACGACAGAGCTCAGTAAGTATCACCGGGGACGTATTTCAGCCGCCAAATCCAGGCTTCCTTAGAATTTTTTTTTTTTTTTTTTGAGTGGCCCCCGCGGCATCCCCTGCGGCCATTTTGACCTCCGACAGGTCGACTTCTCGGTCGCCTGCTTGTCTTAGGTCCGAATAAATACCTGCATCTATAAAAATCGGGCACCAGCGTTGCCCTTTTATACGTTCCCGACTATTCTGCCTGGCGTAGTCGATCAGGACACGAAAGAACTAGAGCGAAAAACATCGCCTCTGCGCACAGAGATACTTAGCGCGAAAGTTCATCAACATGGCGTCGGGTGAGACTTAGAGCCGAAAGGATCTCTCTATGGAATCACTCAAGTGAAAATTGTGGTGGGACTTTCACGTTCTTTGTTTCAGGAGAAAAGGTTCCAGCCCGGAGGTGCCACATTTCACGGCATGATGGCTTCTCATGGTGTGGACGCCGAGTGGTACGAGTACAACAGGACAGTCGAACTGGTCCCAAAGCGCGTCGGTGAAGGATCTATGGTCAGTTATGTCGAACCTTATTTCTGCTCCTGTCATATGTGTGCTTAATAATCTTCATGATGTCGAGACGGCTAGGCACATTCCCATTTGCCGCTTCCTTTAAGTCTTGGTGAGTGTTTTAAAGCCAGCCCATACATAATACAAAAGGCACGGTGTCTGCTTCAGTCATGATGAGAGAAATGCACGCGGACGCGCCTCAATGATGTCGGTCGCATGTTTGCTTCATACACATGCATGCTCCGAGCATTTCTGCAGACAGATTTGCACGACATGTGACAGGACAGTTATACAAGGAAGAAAAAACATGCCTGAGACAATGTTTGCAGGTTGTTTGTTATATAATGTATAACAAGTGTGGTAGCGCCTTAAGGGCTTGTGAAACGTTTGCGGACAGGTTGTTGTTCAGCGCAGTGTACCATATTCTTTAGCCTGAGCTAGAGAGTCATAAACATTTCTCGCTTCCTGCAGATTGAATTTGAACGAAAAAATGAAACAAAACCACGAGAAAGTTTTCTGTTCAGCCATGGTAGAAGATGAGAAAGGTGTGTGAACAAGGCTAGTAAAGGTGGCAAAAGTTTTCGGGTTTTGCTTATCTCCCTTCAGGGGCATTGTCGGTTTAGCCGACTTAGCTCAGGAGCGGTACCGCGAGCCGTGTGGCCGTGATAATAGGGAGTTTTCGTAGATCGTTTCCGCTGTCCCGCAACGCTCTCCGCACCCAGATACGCTAGCCAGAACTCTACAGCCAAAGCCATCGGCTCGCAGGTGCAGTAGCGGCTGCTTCGTTGCGGAAGGCTTAGCGGAGGGGGCAACGCGGTCTACGAAAACTCCCTAATAGGGAGTTTTCGTAGACCGCGTTTCTCCTCCGCTAAGCCCTCTGCAACGAAGAAGCTGCTAGGGCGCCTGCGCGCCGATGGCCTTGGCTGTAGAGTTCCGGTTACCGTAGTGGGTTGCGGAGAGCGTTGCGGGACAGCGAAAACGATCTACGGAAACTTCCTAATATGCTTGCGAATAACGACGGTTTCTCGAGCTCGAGTTACTCTTGTAGGTCTCCTACTATTCTAGACGTGCTGCGCCATTTCACGGCGCTTGTGAGAATTGCGAGCGAACCTTCGACACGCTTGTTTGGCGAGGTGACGCTGTTCAGACATCAATTTCTTCCATAATCTGCTCGGCTTAGACAGAAAGTATGCGTTCACATAATTTTTGTTGCGTCACACAACGCCAAGATGTCACTGAAACTATCACAGTTAAAAACAAACAAATTAGGGCGAACTGTTGTGAGTGACTTTTTGTGAGCTGTACATATTTTCTGAATCTTATACGGTGACGTACATATGTGACAACCCTCCATGTCAAAGTCTGTTTATAAAAAGTTTTCCCAGACACAGCCTTTTTTTAACGTAATTCTTGAAAATATTAGATAATGTACATAGAGGACGAGAAAAAGGGGCTTCCAGACACGAACTATGTCTATAAACCTAGGGATTGGGACTAATTTTCATTTATTGTACAAAAATATCCACCGCTTAACTTTTAAGGGACAGAAGCTGCAAAAAAAAAAAAAAAAAGATCCGTGTGCTTCTCAAAACATATATTATGTTTATCTTAGAAAAAAAAAACAAAAAAACTACGCATTTGAAACACTCAGCTTCAGCCCAATGTAGCCTAGCGGTTGGGACAACCTGTTGTCAGCTCCCTTAGTTACAGTTATCTGAGTCAAGAGCAAGCTATTATTGGCGAGATGTTTCGGTGGCGCCCTCGTTCGGTTGCCTTTCGTGACGTCATTACCTCGCGAACAACAAGTTCGATGGTGTTCGTAGTGGGCATGGTGGAAGTCTGGAATCATAGCGCTCTCAAAGCAACACTGCCAACGCCGTCAAAATTGAAGTTCTTACATTCCTCTTATTTCCGTCGATGAGACATCCTTTGCTGACGTCAGAGTCAGCATTCCGCCAATTGTGGTGGGCCGACCGCAGCGACGCTTTCGATCGCTCACGTCGCCAATATACAATATACAGGTATCTTTCATGATAGCGGACAACAAAGCCCGCTAAAAGACGTTGATTTATGGCATCTGATACCGAGGAACAAATCTCAATGTCCAAAAAAAAAAAAAAGGATATATCGCTTATAAGTTAGAACGTATTAATTATTAGCGCTAAGTTCGGAAGCTTCGATATCTTGTCCAAGCCACAACCGCTATAATTTGGAGGAGAGAAATTGTTCGTCAGTGCGTAATTTTTTTTTAATTAAAACATAATATTTTCCTTCGAACATTCTTTACGATGTAGTTGCAGCTAATAGTAGTAACAGCAGGAGCCGTAAGCGTTACAAAACCAAAGCTTACAGCTGTCAACGACGCAGTTTCTTGACTTAAAAGAGACACAGATGCGCTTAACTTCACCTCTGCTATACACCTTTCCAAAAAACGCTCCTAGGCCGCCGCCATGTTGCTGATGCTGATGAGACTGGTGCGATTCTCGTGCCCTCTATGAGCTAGAAAATTTCTGCCACTCTCTTGGACTGTAAAGACCCGCTCAGCGCGGTTCTCTACCTACGTTTTTGCGGTTTTGCATTCGACGTTTTCATGCCCCTCTTGGAAGTTTCCACTTAATTTTTTTATGCGTGCTGCGTACCCTTTTTGTGTTATCTTCCACTGTGAGAAATAAGGCTGATAAGTTCCTGCCATTCAAGCATATCTGCTTGAGGTGAAGGACGTCGAATGGCCTTTGACGCGATTTTGCGAAGATTGTTCTCCCCCCTCAAAGGGATGATCCGCTTAGAGTCCTCAGTCAACTCCAAAGATAGTTGTCCGCGGGGTTGTGGTGGGAAACGGGTCAGTCGCGTTCGTTCCTTTGCCTTGGTGCTGTTATGAAAAAAGGAAGCTCTTTCCGAAACGTGCCCCAAAACCAAGTCATCTTGGTTCCGTCCGATCGTCAAGATGTGACTCTCGTCGACTGTGACTGTTTTATTTGAGATCTTTCTCAAATAAATTCCTTTTTAGATAACGCTGCATAGTGTGGTACGTAAACATATTGTTCGAATGTTAACACTTGCTAAATTGCATGGCCGTGTCCTGTCCATCGGCAAACACGTTATTTGTGCGAGTGAAATATGCGTGTCTTTCGGCTATCTTCTGTTGCAAATTATTTTCGACAGCTGAGCGCTTTGTCGTTTGACATACGGCAAATCGGGCGGCGCCGGCAAACTTATCGTAATAAAAACAACAAAAAACTAGAACGATACATACCAGTCGCATTCGTTCTGTCGCACGCGTACCTAAAGACAGTCTATAGGTTTTTTTATTTTTTTTTTTTTTCAAATGTGATACAATGCTTTCTCAATGAACTCGGGAAAATACTAGCACCATGAAACACAAAATGCAGCGGTAAAAGACGAAATTTTAGCCGCCAGCAGTGTTTGAAACTACGCAAGCTGCGCCTATCGAAATCACAGCTCACTCGGTTATGGTTAGCAGTAAGCCGGTGAGAGTCCAGCCTCAAACCCAGTGACTGGGCTCGAAAACGGTTTGCTGTCCCTGGGGTCGAGTGTTTCTTGGAAAGGTGTATAGAAACTATCTCGCTTATACTTGTCACTTCTGACTCGTGTAGGTTCATCCTTCAGACATTCACCCCCCTCCCCCCTTCCCCTATATAAACACTGCCTATTATTTTCCTCCTGCTTCTTGACCTTCTGAAAATCGCGAAACCGTTTTTTCTCCCTATTAGTTTGAAGTGTGTTCGAAGTTATGGCCGATGACAGAACGAGAACGGCAAGCAGGACCTTCAGTTGTCCCGCTCCCGGTTCTGTACCTTCGATAACGGTTCGTTGTCTTGTGAGCCTTGAGTGCGCACGCGCTTCCAAAGCACGACGAAAGACAACGAGCGCGTTCTCGAGGCCAGACATTCAAGAGGGGCACACTTCTGTTCTCATTCAACCAATGAGTATAGATCAGACGTATAGTATCTTGACATCCGCAGGCGTTCATGATCGAGAGTTCGTTGAACATGACGGTGACCAAGTGGGCCGAACACGACTGCGGAAAGCTTGACCCGGACTACTACAAGGAATGGCAGCGCATGGCCAAAAATTTCAACCTCAACTGGAAGCCTCCCAAGAAACAGTAGACGGAGGAACACCGTCTTTTTCCCTAGAGACGGAAGACAAAACTTCGCGCTTGTGATTTTGATTAAATAAATAATATGTGATGCAAGGTTGTTGTAGGATGTCGCAAAATTAGTCTTTAAGATGGTTCTTGGGATTAGGAAGCCTTCTTTTAGCACATTAGTTTTCATAGAAGCACTTCCCGAGTATGGAAAAGCTTGTGGCCTACGTCGAAAGGGCCAATTCTGGCACTCAAATTGACGCGTCTTCATGCACGTCACAGCCCCACCGCTCCCCAACAAGACGCCATATCACGCTTGTCGCTTGGATGAAATAAATAAAATGCGGTGCACGCATAGCCATGATACCAACCGTAGAAGCAATGATGCTATATTCGGAGCATATATATTGAACCGAGTTTGAAAGGGTATGAAGAAAGTCCTGAACTAGTTTTTGTGATTAGGGCAGAGAAAGTATAAATAAAAAAGGGGCGTTTTGTAATGGTGCTTGTGCACGTGCTCTTGATGCCCTAGATGAAAAATGTAGCAAATGCAGTACGAATGGCAAACCGGGTCCTTAACTTCCCACGCAGTATGCGACCGGAGACCGATATGATGCTCCACCAGATGAAACGGAGGGATCGGTGGCCGAGTGGGCTAGCGCACACCAGCTCGGAGCACATGAAGCAAACGCTCGCGCAGCAGAACATTTATGTTATGACTCTCTGTCCGACGCGGCGACCACAATATGTTCGGCGCACCGAGCGCTTCACTCGCATGGAGATAGATGGCGCCTCAGTATCGGGTCCTTCCCAAACCGACCGCTCCGGTTGTTTCTCCCAGCGATTGTCCCGGATTCCCTCGCTCACCGCTTCTTGTTGTACATACGGTGGAAGAAACACAACTAGGTGATTACTCTTTGACCGACGCAGTGGCCACATTATGTTGGACGCACCAAGCGCGCTTCACTCGCACGAGGATAGATGGTGCCGAAGTATTGAATCCCTCCCGAACCGACCATTCCGATTGTTTTTCCCAGCGGTTGTCCCGCAGTCCATCGCTCACCACTTCTTAGTGCACCTCCCAGAGCCCGTAAATCTGTGTTCTCTTCCTTCTTCTTCTTCGTGTTAAGGCTCACATTCGTGCACGATGGTGGCACCTGTGATCGGTACAGCACCAAAGCAAACGCGAGGTCAGCCACTGGCCGCACACCAACACCACATCACCACACCGCGAAAAAGGCGAGCACGCTACGCCGCCGACACCGTGGCCGCCGGGGAGTGACCTCACACCTCAGCGCCCTCCACGGCGGCGCGGAAAAGTACTCTTGGTTCGAGGCTAGTTTCGAACATGATCTGGTCGCTCGCTTCCCGCGGGAAGAGTGGTCAGAGTCATCACCTAAATGTGCTTCTTCCACCGTGTGCAGATCACAGAGGTCCTGAGTTCAATTCCCACCCCTGCCCGTTTCGATCAGGATGAGCATCGTGCCGGCATACGATCGTGTATCACTACTGCGTGGTGTGCACGTTAAAGACCCCAGGCTAGCGGTTGTACCACACTGGCTTATACCCCTGTTACACGGGCACACTTAACCGCGGTTAACTCAGCTTTAACTGCGGTTACGTGGCAGCACAGATGCCGCACTATACCCTCGGACAGCTATTTCAAAAGAAGTGAAGAGAGCGCGTGCACTGCTTCGATGGGTGCTCAAGATGCTCAAGCGCACGTTCGCCCATAGCTCTGACTGCATCGCCGCAGAATGTTGTCGGCAAGTATTGTGCGCTAATTGTGGTTTAGCGTAACTGCAGTTAAGTCTGCCCGTGTAACAAGGGTATTAATTGCTCATTTACAGCTGAGAAACAAGTCGCCCGTTGAGGCAGACTATGCTTTGTTCACCATTAAGCTGAGACTAGGAGCTCCGCCTTCAGCGCTAGCTCGCTGGCTTCCGCGGTGCTTCGGTTGAGCGTGCCTGCGCGTTCACAATTGTGTTAGCTAGGGCAGAAAGCTCGCGACAAAGTCGGAGCTTCTAGTCTCAGCGGGGGAAATAGGAGATTATGACGATTTGTACTTCACAAAACCGTCACTTCGAGAAGCGTCATATGGCCAGCGCTTGCGACGCACTTGGTGGCACTTTCGGTTTCGGAATCGGAGGACAGAAGGCGGAGAAATTGTCGAGGAAAATCTCCGAACCAGTTGCTTTTTTTTTTTTTTTTAAATTTGTGTAAGTTAATCTAGCCTTCCAGGGCGGCTGTTTAATATTATAATTGCAAGAAGTTCCGTGAAACCAATGATTAAAATGTTAAATGACGAATTTTAGTTAGTTACTCACAAGACTCTGACGATTGTTCGCCCCTCGAATATCCGCCGAGCTGAAGAAACACCAAGACGGCCTTCACGTAGCAGTAACGATGCCATTTTTGAAAGTTGTTTCGAATAAAAAATATCACCCGGTGTATAAGCATCGCCGGAATGATGGCGAACCTTGGACACCTACATTCCTTTTGATTATGATTTCGCTTAGATTCGTCGCTCGTTTTTACACACCTTTTGTGGAACACAGTTTCGGGTCTGAAATATAGCAAAGTCTAACATCAATCAGTGATGAAGAAAAATGCTGTAACTAACGCAATCACACTTTTACAATAATAATAAAGGTAACAAGACTTTTCATTGGGCTAGTTGGTTTGCATTAGTCATGATTAAAATAGCTCGAACTTGACAAGGACAAAAAAGGCGCACATGTTCGCGCTATTTTATTCATGTTCAATAAAGGCACATACTATTCGGTACGTCCGAAATGACAAAAGTGATTTATGTTATTTTCTGGCGAATAGACAAAATGCACACGCGTTTTCCCATGGGAACGCACACAAGCACCGCAAATGTAGGCTGGTTGCTGTCTGCTTCAATTTGCACCCCGGAAGTCGCACGAACACTTGCGCCAGTTCGCTGCGTTGTCCGTCACAGAACTCTTCATCTTGCATTTTCTCTCATGTTCAGTTTTTGCTGCCCTTGTTGCGAGGTCACTGAGGTAATATTAAGTATGAGAATGTCGTGTGGTGTCAATATAGTGTCAACCAGAAACGTCTGTCCAGTTTCATTCGTTACTGTGACGCAGATCACTGGTTCATTGTTCACGTTTGACCATCCGTCCATGCTCATAGTGACGGCCTTGTTGTGCAGCTGGAGACATGCTTTTGCTTTTTCTTCACGCTAAACTTCGTCCAGCAATGCATTTCCGACTAAGTGTCAGGAAGGCGGCTTGTACCCGGGACGCAGCATGTTCATGAGTGTAGCAAACTCCGGGTGTTCAACCGCACGAAACGCTGTGTCTGTGGCGAACGCAAGTCAGGCTGTCTAAATCACGCTTAACGTTTGCAATCGTTTCAACAATGAAATACTATACAAGTTTTTGCGACGCTTTCGTGTCCTTGGCTCCAGGCCACCGTGCGCTTGGCGGACCCCTTGCACCCCCCTCCCCCCCCCCCCCCCCTTTCTTGTGAAGACTGGCCACGGCTGTTTTTGCTGCTTTCTGAACCTATAGGAAAGTAAACATAAAAGTAAATATTAAAAAAAAGTATTCTTGGCTTTCGCTGTCAATTTTCGAGTAACAAATTGCTGCAGATCTATCCTGATGTCGTGACGTCGTTTTCAATGGCGAACAAAGAATCTTTCATTGTTCGCCATTCACCAGCAGCCTGTGTCATAATCTATGCTCACAAAGCCTGGCAGTTCGACGACGGAGCCATAGAGTGCCCGGTCGCAGATTTGGAGCGCGAGGATCTGGTAGCACAGAGCATCAAAGAGCCACTTCTCGGGGAACTTACGAATTTTTGTATAGGTTCCCTACGGGAGCCAGAGTTGCGCGTAAGTTTTCCACGTTCCGCCGCGCCGTTACTCGCCGAGATCCGATCACATAAGGAGCAGACTGAAATGCCATGCAGGAAAGTAGACGTTGCACGCGCTCCGCCGTACGTTCCCCTGCTTTTCAGCGCCCCGCGAGCCTCGAACGCGCGGCGCCGCTATTCGCCGAATTCAGTCACGTGGGCAGCAGACTCCGATTGCCATGCAGGGAAACCGGCGCCACGGGGATGAACGCGTGACTCTGGCTCCCGTAAGACGCCTATACAGGAACTCAAGGGGAACACAAAGCCTTTTATACTGGGAAATTTCGGCGGTCTGTTGATCCAGCCGCCAGCCTGGCAACTAGGCGCGTCGCGCTCCGATCTTCTGTTCCGCCATGATGTGCCTTCCAGTCTCGCGCCTACTCGCGGCCCGTAGCAGACACGTAGCGTAGAACCCTAGATAGAGCCAGCCTAGAGCAAAAAAACAAGGATGGAAATGATTCTTAAGCACGTTAGACGATACGTCTCAAGGAAATGGGATGCTGCAGTGCCGTAAACTGTTCGAACAGCGCAAAAAAAAAAAAAATGTTCTGAAATGTATTATTTCCCGCAAGAGAAAGAAAACCGCCCGTCAAGCAAAATTCGGGAGGCCAAAATGAAGAGGGCTAACTGGAAGCCGACCTCAAGTTCTCGCCTCTGTGTGAGAGAGAGAGAGAAAACATGTTTATTGGAAAGATGAAGAGGTTATAGTCTGTGTGATGTACGTTTATTCTGCTTATAAGCTATACTTCACTTTATTTGTGAGTGTAGCCGAAGCCACAAGCGCGAGCATACAGCGTGAAGTAGCCTGAAGCAACGCCCGCACTGCACGAGACCGCGTGCGAGTAAGGAACGTGCAAATCGTCGGGTTCGCGCTCCTACCTTTGACTTCGCTCGCACCTAAAATGCTCTCAACAAGCGTAGTAAATATGTGACATGCCCATTTTCTAGATGCACTTTGAAGATAGTGAATTGGAGAGCGGTTGTCACGACCGCAAGAAGATCAGGTACAACGCGATCCCGTTGGTGTTTCCGCACAGCAAGCCGAGCAATGCCAGAAAGCCACGTAAACATCGGCAGGTGTGAAGTTGTAAAAATTTACACCGCAAAAAACCTTATGTGTCTTAAAGTGAACCATACTGAACAGTGGTTTTGCTGGCGCACACGGCATAAGTATTAAACATGAG